GCCTGTGTTTTTATGGAGTCGCTTCTTCGCAATTAATATATTTGGTATATTGAATCAGCACAAACATTCAATAAGAATTGGTAGCAGAAAGATTTTAGCTGGACCAACGGGCCGATCTTGATAACAGGAACTATTCTAAGTGAATATTAAGAATGATCACGAATTTTATGTCAGTACAGTCATATGATTGTATTCATTACTAAACGTTTTTTCAACGAATATGTGTTTAAATAAGCGAGGTCACAGAATTGTATGCCCTATTAAGCAGAAAGAAATTGCTCACGGTTCAACCTTGGAAACGTATTTTCCTCGATATTTTCGCCAGAATTGGTAATTTATTTCGAGATAAGTTCGTTAAACAGTTATTTGCTTAGCAAGAAATAACCAGATCGACCGAGTACATAATAGCGCGTTCTTTCGCAAACTTCCAACTAGTCACTTTAGCCTGCCCACTGCACTGCACTGGACCTGAGTGCAGTCTAAAATAATAGGAAAATAAAAAAATATGAAGACATTTCTCAAATTACTTGATTGAATTCTTATAAATACAAATAAAAAATTCTTGCACAAATAAAAGAAAAATTTTGTCTATCCGTCTTGACCAAACGACACCTTATGCGCGTTTTGAGAGAAACCGGAGGCATAAAATGGTAGAAAACGGTCGGGCGTCCAAGTTTGTCGAAGATGCACAGAGAAAGCAGAGCTTCATTTATACAGAAATGGGCTCCAAGAAGTATACAGAGTTGCTGCAGGATGTGGTAATTACATTCATGGAAAACAACGTAGAAACAGAGTTGATTTTTCAGCAAATCAATGCCACCATACATGTGTCGAAGGAAGCGAAAGAGTGATTTCAAGGTAAAGAAATCAATTTATTAGACTGGCCCGCATGTAGTCCAGATTGCAATCTTATTGAAAATTTATGGAGCATACTAGCTTCGAGGGTATATCCGAATTCTATGCAATTTAAAACGGTTTCCGAGCTTAAGGAACGAATGAAAACCTGTTAGGTGGAAATTGAACCCGATGTCCTTAGAAAACTAGTAGACAATGCAAAATAGAATGTTCAAACTCATAACATTCAAATAAGTGTAATTAATTAATAAGCTACCGACTATTCATCAGAAAAATAGATTTTTACTCTTGTTCTTAACAAAAAGTCATATGCGTTTAATCAAATGTCTAAGTATTATTAAGTTATTTTCTCAATTAATTAGAAAGATTTCTAGTGAATTAATTAAAAACACTTTCAAAAATGATTTCTGAATTACTTCGGAGTGCTATTGAAAATAAATTTATGATAGATTCAATTTTAAAAATATTTAATAACAAAAATGCAAGTGCGTTAAATCAAATGTCTATGACTTTAGATTGAGCGCCAAAAGACGGGATAATAAATTCTTACTGATTAATCTTCGCTGAATATTTTGCTTGCCAATTTTTTGAATAATTCGAAACCGTTCTTCAAGTATTCGGCTGAATAAATTACCAAGACGAAATGAATTAAAGAACGTGAGGGGATTGTTCAAAGAATTTAAATGCAGAATAGAGCATACATTATACACAGCCATTGCTTCACATTGCTTTCAATTTTCGATTACTTCCAACACATGAGGATACGTAACTTTCCTTTTCAATAAGATACTTTATAAGCTGGGATAGCACTGTGCCCCGCTAATGCTTTGTACAGGACAAAACCGCAAGTATACCTTCGCAAATTGCATGAAGAAACCTCTTTCACCAATAAATTGGCGACGAGCCAAGACGGTAGGTAATGTAACTACCAACATTTGCTTAGTTCAGCATTTCCCTTTCTCTTGGTTGGAAAAATACGCACAATGAGACACATTAACCTGTCATTGAGGTCCCCTCTATATGAAAAAGTTCCTGTGTTTGTAGCAAGGCAAGAAAAATGATGACCAGCCGACACAGTCCCTTGTATACATGTGGGCCAGTTAGAGCCAGAGAAATGGCGTGGAGAAGGACGAATATGTTTTACTATTTTCTACATCCATGTTTGCGAAGTGCTGTTTAGCTGTAGCAAAATGAAGGAATAAAACAGCGAGCAGGGTCGTCAACACAAAACGCTCGTTAAAGCAGGCAATTGCCTTGAGCACAAAGCGAGAGAGCTGCTGCACTGCCGGCAAACACACAGCGAGATTATGCGGTTACTTAGAAGGCAACGGGTATTTTCTTTGAGATAGCAATTTCCCTGAACGCTTACCACCGAAAGCGCTTAACTTTCTTATTTGCTCATTTACTATGCTCTAAGATTAAAAAAGCCAAGACGGTCTCATAGTACACCTTAGAAAAAATTGGAAAAAACAGATAATTTTGTATGAATATGGCAATTGCGTTTTCGCCTTTATTCGAAGATAATATTTTCACTGTATTGAATAGTATATATAAGTAAAAGTATTTAATGTATATAATAGATTACACATATTGATTGTTGCTAATGAACAAGGCGATCTTTTTTGTTGGACGCACTATGTATGTGGAACCGGTAGGACTTCGAGTTCAATCCTTTGGATTCTTATACCGAAAATAACGGTTTCGTCTATGTTTGTATATAATATTTTCATATATTAAGAACCACATCTGGCCTTATACTAACCTATTAAATACTTGTACATAACCTATTATAATAACATTTAATGTATACACGGAACCGTGGAGAGAAACCCGGACCTCGGAGGGACATAAGGTAAGGGGCACCTGAACCATCAAGTTATTTAAATTTTCTTTTAATTATTTTGAAAAAAAAATTAGTTTCATTCCACCTTATTGTATTGAAGATCTTCTAGTATTTTATATATACTGAGTCTAAATGAACTCAATGATAATTACGACACTGACGAAATGCTTTGTGACGTCGCTACACATGTGAGCGCGTACGCAACAAGTCGAGCGTAAAACAGATATCACATAAAAATCAGCGGTTGACCGCACAAAAATTTTACTTCTAATTATATATGTATATACCTACAATATATGTCCAGAAGGTAAATACATGTACCATATGTACATACAGTAATACTACAAAACAAGTTATTGTAACTGTTTCAAAAATTCTGTGAAAATTTTAAAGAGTTAATATTGTCATGATTGTGACATTATTTTCATAGCAATCAAGACGTAAAAATATTGTTGGAATTTCACAGTCTGGTATTTCAAATATCATTTCATATAGCACTGATTGCCGTCGGCTCTTTTTGTAAAAGATATTTCTCAAACTTTTTTTTCAAATTCTAATCCTGCTAGGATCAGTTTAATTTACTGTGATACCATGTATTTTGTATGTCGCTTCACAGGCCTTAACCTTATAAACTTGTTCGTGGCAGAACGCAGCCGCAACAGAAAAAATTAAGCCCACATAAAGCTTTAACATTATGAGCGCGATGTAAATATTATGAATGACAACTGTGGTGTGTTTTGGAACGTCAAAGGGAGGGCTACAAGTCTAACTCGTGGGAAAGCATGAAGCTAGTAGAGGCCTAAATTTTCGTTTAATTTAAATATTACTATTAAATATCGCATACATATTTTTAAGGCGCACGTAAATATGGTACATATGAGCATACACATAAAGACTTAAACATGGCCGTCGTCACTCAGAAAAATATTTTGATTCAAGCCAAAAATCTATCAAGTTTTCGTCTCTCAAATGCTGTGGAAACTCAGTTGGAGCTACGGCAATTTTTGGAAAGTAGCCAAATAATGTAAATGAAAGCATTTGGTTTTGAGTACATTTGGGTTTTCGGCATGTTTTTCCGCATATTAATAGCTAAGCAAGTAATTTGCGATTGAGTAATATCTATGCAGGTTTTAAGGAAAACTTATTTTCAAAACAATACAATCAGTTGGGGAATCAGCGGTAAAATGTGACGATTATTCGAATCATAACTACGCCATTATCACATTTTTTGTTCTTACTCCCACTAAACAAATATTTGAATTGTGGTAGATGAGAATTAATTGTATTATTTTATATTTTTAGCGCAGGCGTTAACTAATATTTTGTCATTTAATTTAATAAACGTTAATTATGATTTTGTGCCAAACATACAATGTCCGCATGTAATCTGATTATTATAATTTTCTATGTTTTCCCATCCATTCTTATCACTTTCCTTCATATTAACAATTGCTTTATAGACCTATTGCTAACTAGAGAACCATTTATATTCGAGATCATTGGTAAGGCGCCACAATTATACCATAGTAAACAACCGCAACGGTAGCATTTTCGGCAGGTAGTCTTAAAATACAATAGAACAGTGTCAACATCGGATGATTACAGTTTAAAACACAATCATTGCCTTTCAATGGCGGCGATTTCCCAAATAAATAAAAATTTTAATTTTCAGCATTCTCTTATTGGTGAGAGCTGAAAGTGGCATTTTTTGTCGATCTATAAATGCAACACTTAGAGAGAAAAACATAGTCAGTGTGAGCATTTTATAAAATGCTAGAAATAGGAAGACGAAAACCAAGCCACAACACACTCTCACCTCCGCAAACAATAATCACCTTTGTTAACAGACTTAACGCAGTCTGTTGTTACAGCGACTGCGACGGCTGCTGCTGCACAGATTGTTGTTTTGTTGAGCAGCAGTATGGACAAGGCGTGAAGAAAAGCAACGTCACCGAACGTTAATAGAAACGTGATGAGCGAATAAGCAAGCATTTTGATAAAATAGGTGAGTAGGAGAAGATATAGCAATCACGGCAAATTTATTATTGAATGCGGCAAAAACTATATCTACCGGAAGGGGAATTTCATTTCTACTGCATTTGCATTTAGTAAAAATTATTTCATTTGCCATTTCCACGAGTTATTTACCTTATATGTAGTTATTTTTAGACCGAACTACTTAAACTCATTTGCAGTATTAAGCCACATATATATATACATACATAATACATATGTATGTATATAGTATATATTGATAAATACAGTTGAAGATATTTCAAAAACAAATTTAATTCGCATTTACCTTATGGTTTTTTATATGAACAGTAATTTTGGTATTTTCTTCAATATCAATAATCGTTTGTTTTGTTTATTTTCTGCTGAGAATTCGTTGATGGTTGTTTTTGGCCCGTTGTCAAACTTTTATGCTCTTTATGCCTCTTTTTTTAGCGATAATCACACACCAACCACTTCACTAAATCACCGTTCGCAAATATTTAAGAAATTTATTATGATAAACTTCACCAAAGACCTTTATAACTTATGTATTTTCACTAACATATTTCTCAACTTTACCATACAATTTGCACATTTAATTAGCAACAACCTAATAGCGAATTTACTTTATATGCATTCCACGTTAATTATTGTTTGCTAAATTTTAATCACAATTCCACTGCTGGTAGTCTTTCCATCCGCACTCACTTTGTTTGCAATCAATTAATTAAATCAAACTTAAGTTGAACGTGTGTGTACAACGAGAAAACACAGCAACGCGTTGAAAATATTTCACCGAGAAATCTACAATTATTTGTCCAAACACAAAGACGTTTTCAGAGCGACTGACTGTAATTTTGACATACATTTCTCCTCATGATTTCTCCATCGAAAACTTGTTTTACTTCACTTCACTCGTTTCCCGCTACAGCTGCTTTCCTCTGTTATTCTCTTGGGTCTGGCCTCTGGTCTCTTGTCTGTTGTTGCGAGCGTTAGTGAGAAAATGTGGTTTTCGCCGTGTATGAATTATCACATTGGAGCATTTCTGACGGGTATAAACAAGGAAAAGAGTTCACAAAATTTTTTGCAAATGAGCACGGTTTGTATTCGCCGCAGATTATGACATGTTTAGTTTTCATTTCAGCTGTAGCTGTACACAGTGTTGATACTGAACGGTATTATATTAACAAGAAATGCCGGCTCTTACATCGCCCGCTTAAATAGAAATATAATGAATAATTGCAATAGTTCCTTTATAAATATTAATTCTGATGAGTATATTGATGTTTGCCTTTTTTCCATCTAAATCCTTTCTGGCTGGTGCATCAAAATTGACATCACAATCATATGCCCAGCCCGAAGGCCGCATTTTCCTTTTTTTTTGGTCTAATTTTTTATTAGTTCTTTTGGGCTTAAGATGGTGCTTATCATATGATTTCCAATACATTTAATACAAAAATTTTTTTGAGCTGGTCAAATAGTCACTGTTTGGAAAAATTAGTTTTTTTCTGGATACACTTTACCGTTCTATTGACAATGCAACACCATTTCTTACAAAATCTTTTACTCTCCCGATTTTATTGAGCACCTAGGTGAAACAGCTGCTTTTGACAACACTGCAAACCTGCAAATCAACAGCAACATGTCTGCAATGTTTTTATTACTGCACAGCATTGAGTCACAACTAAAGAAATTTGTGTTGATCAAGTAATAATAATGGTCAATAAATTTCCAACACAATTTATGAAGTATTTGTAGCGGGAACGAATATGAATGCAATGGAGTTTGGATTGGATAAAAAATTACAGGGCTTCCAACTTATAGCTCAGGAAAAATTGCAAGCGATCATATGTTCTATTCCAGGCAAAAAAGACCTGATAATTGAACCAGCACTAATTAAACCTTTGGAGCATGTTTGCGCTGCATCCTGGCTGAAATTGAAAGGCATACAGAGAATCTTCAAATTTGATGGCGACCAAATTATTTCACGTACAGCTGAACATCAAATCCACATCTTTTTAATACACAGTAAGGTGGAAACATTTCAACAGATTTTAATTCATATACAAGAATTAGAGCGGCGAGAGCCGACTGATCTGGATGCCGCTATAAAAAGTTTTCATATAATATGTGTGCCCACTTGCTTTACCCACTTCCATACGCTGTTGGAAGAGGAGGGCCTTTACGGGTTGGTTCAACTACATCGTTACAACTGGGACTTTATCTGTCTCGATCAAAATGTGCTAAGTATGGAAATACCAAATGTGAGTATCTGTGGTTTCATTGTGGGTCGGTTAGTATAATCATGTAAGTGCCTACCTTTAGGTTTTCTCCACACTATTTTTACGCAAGGATACCTCTCTACTACCAGTAATAGCACAATCTCTGCGGGTATTGCAGATCGTTTGTGGACGACCTGAAGTAATTCTCACTTTTGGTGAACATTCTGCAAATTTAGTAAAAATGTTGCAAACTCTTAGCAAGCCTCCTAACGATGATTGTAGTGAGTCGTCCGCCGATTTTGCCGCTATTCTTATCATGGATCGTGACAAAGATTATGCATCAAGTCTACTAACCCCAGCTATTTATTCTGGATTACTGCTGGAAGTTTTTAATCGGCGAGCAGCAGAAATCGAGTTAGAAACCCACTCAAATAAGATTTCAAAACAAATGTTAGACATTTTTCAACTACCCCATCGAGCTTATCAGCAAAAACAAAGTGAAAAGTCGCCAGTAGGCAAGATAAAGCCGTGTAAACTTCCAAGCATACGTATGAACGCAATGAGCGATGAAATTTATGGTGAAAATCGTTACAAGCATTTTGCGCAAGCTAGCAGCCAAATACGTGCACAAGCAAAAACTATCGGATTGGAAGTTCAAAAGTTGGGCGACATGAAACTTGATGAGATGCACGACTATGTGGCACGCAAATTGCCAAAGGTTACGGAGCTTAAAGTAAAGGTTATGCGACACCTAAACGCCAGTGAACAAATTATAGACATGTTGGGTGGTAACTTTCGTCGTGTGCAATCCTTGGAGGAAGATATACTTAATAATGTGGCGCGCAAACGAATTCTCACAGAAATCGATGAACTACTCACATCAGATGGGCAAAAGTACAATACTCTACGATTGCTTTGCCTACTGCACTTATGTGCTGGAATAAGTGGCGATGAGTTGTCACAATTTGCACGTAACTATTGTAACTATTTTGGCCAACAACACTTGGTTATTTTTCAACAATTAGCGATAGCCGGGCTTTTACCGATGATGTGGGAAGAGGATAAAGCAAACACTTCTGCGAAAATACTCTCAAATTTGCCGTTACCCAAATTTCAACAGACCGAATTTCAAGCAAATGCTAATAGACTGAGATTAATGGTTTCACCTACTGGTGCTGAGCCAACACCTGTCAACTCTAACGCAGGCAATGATACTGATGTTGGTAGTGTCGCATGTTCGCCTAACTGCGCTAGTTATGTGTTCAATAATCTTTATATCCCAATTGCCGCACAACTCTGCTCGTGCTTACTAAAAGCTCGGTCCGCAGACGAGTTTTCCAGCAAAGTAGGTATGGTGGACAAGTTAATTATGCACTCACCTGATGGCACAGCACACAACGCCAAATCTTTCGCCAATTCCATTAAATTGAATGACTCGAAGGACATATTTCCTCTGCGAAAACGTAACTTATTTATTTTTGTTCTGGGTGGAGTAACATATGCTGAAATTAGTGCTTGTAATTTAATAGCGCGCCTTACGGGTTCTCAAATTGTTGTGGGTTCTGACGCTATCATCAGTGGCAGCGATCTTATCGAGGCAGCTTTCTGACGAAAACAGAATAAACTTGCAAACATAAAGCAAAAGTTATCCAAATATGAATTAACATTGATATAACAATTATATAAATATGTAATATTTACATTTTTTAATAAAAAAAAAAACATACAATAAACATAAGGCATTCGACCAATATACGTGAATCCGAATAATAATAAACTATTTTTGAACTTAAGGGAAGACATTTTTAGCGGTAAATTTCATTTTTAGCATTCAACTATGTACTAATTATAATACAGCGCCGGCAACTAAGGTCTTATTCGGCGGCGAAACATTAAAAACAAAACAGCTGGTTATCAGCTGTGTGTTATACAAACTGATTTTTCATTGGGCTGAGAAGTTTCCATTGGTATTTCTAAATTTAATAACTTATGTATTAAATCTTAAAATTTCTTTAAGATTGTATTTGATTATTACTATTTAAAAGAGTTTTTCAAAATTGTGGAAATGTTGCCAAAAAACCAAATTCGATACTTGCACTTGGCCATTGCATATATGGCGCGTGGTGTGGGTCGTCGATCTAATCCTGGGCTCGGGCATCAGCTCAGTAGCATGGAAAGTGTTGATGAGCGTTTAGAACAAGATCCTGAAGGATTTGGTGACTTGGAAACGGATTTTATGGCGACTAATCACACGCATCGTGAATATGAACGTGAAATGAGTCAACAACGTGAACGAATTCGACACATTATGGTTAAACACAAATACTTCCGTGAAACAAAGTTACCGAACTTGCTGACTTATGCTGAGAAAGAGCAAATGCGCACATTGCATTCACGTGACCCTGAGGAGTGGACAGCTGATCGTTTAGCTGAAAGTTTTCCAGCTACAACGGAAGTCGTTAAGAAAATAATAACCGCAAAATGGCAAGCGCGCAGTGAGCATCGCATACGCAAACACGATGAAGTGGTTATACAAAATTGGGAAAAATTCCGTTCAGATCCAAAATTATTGCAGTTGCCACCCGATTTTCAAGCTCACTTGCAAAAGTTTGCCACGAGACGAACAGAGGACTTACTTTCGGTTGCCAGAGGCTTGCCAGCTAAGCCAGCTTTGGCGCGACCAATGAAACAAGAATTTCTCTCGATTATTACAAGTTGTAAAAAATATGCAGAAAAGGAAGATGTACCAAAGATCACTTCAGGAAATTCACAAAATGTTGAGGAAGTTTCAAGGGCTACATCAGCCGAAGATGAAACGTATTTACTGCAAAAAGTGTACGACAAACGGAGAATGCGCCTACAAGAGCTGAAAAAGTTTAAACTATCCCCAACCGAATTATCAGTATCTTCTAATGAGTTGACCAAAAATGAAAATCACACAGTTAATCGAGAAATAACTGAACAGGAATCAGCTTCTAAATTACACAATCCCGACGGAACTGGCATAATTTCGAAGTCCCTACATAATAATCCATTCGCTGATATCAATGCAATCGAAAAATATGAAAGTAATGAAATCGTTATCAGCGCTGAGGATCAGAAGCGCTTTGAAATAACACGCGTTAAAGATCACATACATATTCCACGCAAAGTATGGCGCAAAGGTGGAACTTATCGCGTGGAGGATGCGTACTATGATGATGATGGGGAACTCCTCTATCGTGTGCCGGGCATGTCAGGGAAGAACAGATAGAAGTTTTATCTGCACGATATATAAAAGATTTATTGAAAATGTAGTATATCATTTTTACAAAACAAAAAAAACAAATAAAAGTGACTACTTTTATCTTTCAATATAGCAAGATTTTTATTATACCACACATGAGTAAACATGTTTGATGTGTGTACTGAACGCAACAAATAATATTTTTCAAATATAACCGTTGTAGTAAAGAATCTATTTTAAAATCCTTATAAAACTAATTTGGACCTTATTATTAGTATTATTTGTTATTTTTGGTAATTATTTAAGCACTCCAAAAGAAAACAGATTTCTATATATGCATATGTATAGTTATAGCTTATTCATGTTTATTGTACATAGTCTTTAAAGTGATTATGAGTAAAGCATAGTGACAGCTTATGTTAAATTATTGTAGATAAACAAAGGTGAAGAAAAATAAGCAAATCATGGAAGCATATACATATAATATGTATATGTATTACGGTATGAAATAAAAATAAGCTAACACAAATTATGTAAAGTAGTGTTTTAATTTTGATCAGAATATGTGTTGATAATTATAAATTTTAATTATGGCGTTTTATAGTACCATATGAGCTCTTCACTTTTTTACATACAATTTTAGCTTCCTGTTAAAGTTTTTTTTATTTTATTTGCTTTCTATTAAAAAATAAACATAAAATCAACACTTAGTGTTCTACAGTAATATTAGCATGTACAAATCTTTCTGCAAGTATACATTTATAAAATCTACATATACACTCATCAGTGCTAAGGTTTTAACAATACAATACATAAAAGTACAATTTTCTCCAGTTACATATGCAATAAACTCATATATATATTATATTTTGTAATATTAATAGAATACTATTGAAAATCAAATACAAATACAATAACCGGTTTCATTTGTTTTCGACACAATATACTTGGTACAAACTTAGGCATAGCCGTAATAATGAACTTACACAAATGTGTGCATAATAAAAAAAGAAAACAACAAAGATAAGCAAGGCTAATTTTTGTTCTTTAGATTCGATATTTCACCACAATTCCCTGTAGGGTTCCTGCGTTCGTCCATCAAATACTCAAATGCACTTCACACAATTAGCAAAGCATATTAATAAATTCCTTAGTCATTATTTTGCAATATAACTTATAAATAACGTGTTAAAGACATTTTCGTGCCTTCGATTCAAGTTTTGATTAATAAATTTTTACTAATTCACGAGCCTATTTTTCTACTTGCACATATGCAGGAAACTTTCAGCGCGTTTTAATGTGTATGTATGTTGATTTAGCTGTATATACTATAAATTACAAGAATATGTTTTGCCGTTATATTCTTGAATAATTGTTGATATTTAAATTTACATTTTATTGGACTTTGTGTGGTATTTGTAACACATTTGCTACTGCTAATATTATTGGTTTCTTTTTAGTATTTTCAATAGTTTGGAACTAATTCGATTTCGCTGAAAATGGACTGGACGATCCCACAGACGGTGGTGTTGGTGTGGCACCACTGCGGACGCCATCGCCTTCGCATACGTATTTTCCTAAAAACATAGATGAGAATTATATTATTGCAGATATAGATAATTGGAAATTAAGCTAATTTCATTAGTAATTTACGTTATAAACCTTCACATACCCGAAACAAAACGGCGCTTCACCAAGGACAGTCGATATCCGCTGCCTTGCAGTTCGAACTCTATACCCGATAAAGTAGTGCCCTCACAATTGAATTGTGTGGTCAATAAGGCTGGAATGGATGGACCATCGTTAAGTTCAAGACGAGCACGGAGCGTACCGACACCGCCGTCCTGTGAATTTTGCGAGATATCTGTGAAATTCCAAACCAAACGGTTTGATTCACCTAGCCTATAAAAAACACACATGTTTATTTTATTTATATTTGTTTTGTTCAACGAGTTGGACTCACCACGCGGAATGTGGTTTCGACTGCACATTACGAACCAAACCGTTCACTGGCACCGAGAGTGTGACATTCAGTAGCGGTGATGCGCTTGCCATTGCATGGTTATTGTACTTGTAATCGATTTTGAGCGCCGTAAACGTAGGTTCACACTTCCAATAAGAAACCAATTGGAAGGGACACGATGAGGCACCGGGTTTAGAGCGCACTTGGTATTTCAATATGTCTACATTGAAGTATGACGCGTTGGGATTATGCTCGGCTTGGTGGCGTAACAATGCGGTCAATGCAGGCATATTAAATTCCAATAATGTACTAAAGGTGCTCGATTGATTACGATCGCTATGGGGCAGTTAAATATAAAATTGTGTTAGAAAACATAAGGTTAACGCGAGTGAATCATATTTTGCAATTAAATGTTTAGTTTATGTTAGCAGAGCCCGGATGTGCTATATTAAACAGTAGGGAAAACATTAATCATTCTGCTTCCTAGCTACGCAAATACTACGATCTCATCAATTAATAATTATAATAATTCAATCATAATTTTAAATACTCACATTTGCACTAATTTTGAATTCGGTAGTAAATTTTCCAAGTTTTGAACATTCTTGATACGAAAGCCGAGTTTCGCTGGATTTGGATTATTCGCTAGAAGGCCTACAATCCCAGCTGGAAAGGATAACATCATATCCCCAGAGATTTTCACCTGACAGCGCGATTCATCGCTACCCCTGTCGAAATGAGTAAAATATCAATAACGCAAGGGTGTGACTCATTTTTCTGTGTATATACGTACCTAAAGTATGCGTGGATAATTTCATGGAAAGCCACCGCTAATGGAATCGAGTCTGAAATGCCAATGGTGAGCGGCGATGGACCACGCGATGACCCTATGCCACCGATAGCAGTGCGAAATTCTAAACTGCCAATACTGTCTGCGCGATTCATTGCTGGAGATGGGCTAATGCGTCCACGGGCTGCTGCTACTGAAGGCACCATTACCATTTCGGAGCGACGTGAAGGTGGCCTTGGTATTGCAATACTGTTAGCGGATGTTGGTGTGGGTATTTGCCGGCTATTTGATTTTGAAAGAGTGGCGGAAGCGGGCGCAGAGGCACTTACTTCGCCCAACTCAGAAAATATATCACCTAAGTCAGCGTATCTGCGGAAGAATTTACCTAGTTATAAAGAGGAACCAATTACAATAAGTAAATGTATATCACCTCGAGTTATTCGACATGGAGAGTGTAGGACTTTGTAGTGGTGCATATGGATGCACCGTGGCGGTTGGTGTGGACGCATTAGATATCTCAGGCGATTGCTGACGCGAAGCGATGCGCGATTGCTGCAACTGCTGATTGCTGTGTTGTTGATTAAAGGTCTGTAAACAAATGTAAATGATATGAATATATCATTGAACTTTATTCAATGAACTTTATTTGTACCGAAAATACGCTGGTGGGCGACAGTGATATATTCTCCACAGTAGCGCGCAATTCATCCACACTTGCGGACATTGGCGCTTGTCCATTATTCAGTGGCTTGATCTTCACATGTATGCGTCTTTCTGGTTTATCGTTGTCTGAATCTGAGTCGGAATCAGAGTAGAAACTTCCAGCTATTTTAGACAAAAAAAAACCAAAAAAAATATATATATAATTCCTATTTTAATTTCTTCCCTTACTTTTATCGTGATTTTCCTCCCAGGCAATTTCTTTTGGCGGTTGCATGCTGTATCCATCCTCGTCAACCTCATTACCGCCATATGCTTTGGTGCCACCACTGGCTGTGCCATTGCCAGATGCGTTGCTATTCTTATTCGCATTGTTGGTTGCGTTAACAGTATTGCCTGCGGAGCTACTTCCAATATTTTCCGATATATTAACGCCAATAGCACCGGCGCCACCGCCCGACGAGTCCACGCTGCCCGGTGCAGAAGCGGATGACAAGCCTAATCCACCGGCACTACTGCCGCTGGAATTTTGAGTTTTCATTCTATTGATATCGTCAGTATCATAGGAGTTGTTGGCGCGGTCCACACTAAGAAATGGTAAAGTTCATGCATCAGTATCTAAACGAGGCTGATAAATCATTATCAAATTAAATTACCTTCCCTGTTGCTCTTCTTGTATGTTATCTGTCGCTTCGCCATCCTTCTTCTTTTTAGACTTTTTAGTTTTCGCTTTATCTCGACGGCTACGCAAAATACCAGACACTGTGCATATAGAAATATGAAAAATTACATATTTTATATGACGTTAGCATCCATTAATAATGGAGGTATAAGAAATTCACATTTGCAAAATGAATATTTCAGAATAGACCGTGTTTTTATAAAAAAAATTTTAGAAGTTTATATTTGCAAGTAAATTTTTATGTACCTCATTATATAGAAGTATGTATCATTTTGCATACTTTAGAAATTAGTAATCGCAATAGGAAAATTAGTAAAACAAAAAAAAAGTTCGATAAACTTAACACAGACTTTGATGAAATGAATGCATGCTTTTAAATAAATACAGTATATAGAAGAGAGGCTGACAGTAGGATATTATGAAAAATCCACTATAAGCGATACAACCTTAATTAAAATAAACGAAATAGTAGAAGAGTTGCAAAGTGAAATACCTGCAAATAAACCGTATGAGAAATTCGAAACGCAATCGAAACATTGTTTATTGACTGACTAACCAAATATGCACGGAATAAAAATATAATAAACAGATAATTTTGTATTCATCGATAAATTCACGCACTGAAAAATTTAACACCATATTTGCCTTGAAAGATTATTTTAAGTAACTAAAATAAATGGAAGTTAAATTTAAAAAAATAAAAATAATAAATATAACTAATTTTGTAAAAACAAAAATTATAATAATGAAAAAATATGAATATAAAAACGATAGAATAAAGTAAATAACAGAAGAATCACGTCATTCCCAAGTCACCACAGAAATCAAATATTTGCCGAGGGGATCCCATAAAAAGTGAAGTAGTTAAGAGGTGGCATCAACATATATATGTTCGTATATATATACAAAGGAAAAGTTAATGAAAATTACCAAAAGAAGACCAGTGTATAAAATATATATATATGTAAAATGTTTACATTCCAACGCAAAACTGCAGTGCTAGTACAAAAGTAATTTACAAAGTATAAAATATGTAAAAAGTGTATTATGTAACAGTTCGTTTGTGTTCTTTTCCTTCTCACCCTGAGAATTTGATGTGAAAATATTCAAAAGCGAGGTTGTGCGGCGTGAATTTCCCACAGACGCACCCGCAGTAGATGCTGATACAGCAGCGCCACTCGTGGACGCTGAATTCGGATTGCTATGCAGATGATTAGAACGTTCATTGAGTGATGTAGAAAGCGGTTCTGTGTAATTTCGATTCGCTGCTGAACTGCTGCCTGTTGGCGTTGGTGAAGAGGTGCGTTGTTGGAGATGCGGCTCGACTAAAGTTTGATCTAAATTTAAGCATAAGTGGTTTTTGAGGTAGAAATGGAATTAGGAGTTTGTTAAAGACGGAAAAACAAGCATTTCAGTTCAAAAATATATTTGACTGCGGGCCAGAGACAGTCGACGGATGCAGAACTTACAGAGTCAGTTGAAAAATATGTGTACAACACACACACACTACTCATAATCGTCGTTGGAATGTAAATAATTAACCGGTAGCTTTTAAGAAAATTTCATAAAAAACTATACTATAACTATAAAATAGAACCAATTCTAATTCGAATTCTCTATGATATTGTTGTATGTATATATGTATGTGTGACTCAATAACACCTAGTATTAGCATTATAATGTTCTATAAAATTTATTGAACGAGAGACTAAAACTCTAAGATAGAAAAATCTTTCCTTGACAGCATTATTACTATGTTACTAAACGTTGTTATCCGGGTAGACGCTTTAGTAATTTCAAAGTATGCTTCAATTTACAACTGAAATGCAGCTGCTGCCGGCTAAATAATGAAATAAGACATTTTTCTTTACATTACGCAACAAAAGCCAAATGGACAAATAATAGAAATATTAAAAATAAACAGAAACAGAAACTTAAAAGACAATTTGAATTTAGAAGAGTTTGTTAAGAACAAAACAAAAAACAATAATATTAATAGAAATAAAATGAATGAAAAAACATAAAAAACCTACTTGTTAGGGGGGAGGATGTGGTTGACGTAACGGTATTGTTGGTAAAAGTATTATTTGTAGTAGTATGAATAATAGGAGAACTAGCAGTAGTAGAGGAAAGAGTAGTAGTGGTAGTAGTAGTGATGTTAGTGGTGTTACATTGTTCTGGTAATTGTGTTAAAGCAGACGACATAAATGAACCTTGATTATTATTATCCTGCAGTGACTGAAGCTCTGAGTTTAGGGAATTTTTCATGATGGCTGTGGCGGTGTGGGTAGAACCAATGCTATCCGTACCGAAATTCCCACCACCGCTATTAGCGGTTGTTGTTGCAGCCGTAGCTCCAGCGTTTGAATTTGCCGGTTGTTGCTTGCTGCTTGGAATGCTTGAAGAAAACCAATTGAGGAAATTGCTGCGCACTGTGGAAGTGTTCGTCGATGTGCTTGTTACCACAGCTGCTGGTGCAGTGTTAACGCTACTAATACCTGAGATAGCATCAGCGGCGCTATTCAATAAAATCGGTGATGTTGCGCGTGGTGATGTCTGTATGCCCAAAATGTTGTCATCAGCGTTTAGTAGGCTATTACTGCCACTGCCACTACCACCTACTGCACCAATACCGCCACCACCACTGCCTAAAGAACCTGCATCGACACCAACACTGCCACGTTGATCCATTGATATGCTACCGCTAGTAATACGTGATATGGCACCTTGTATACTTGTGGCTGAATTGGAATTGGAAGCAGCCACAGTAGTACCGCCTGGATGATTTAAGCGTGTAGCTGAGACGGACTGCTGTTGTTGTATAGAGAGTGGAATGATTTCGAGTTCGGGAACTTCTACAATGACCAATTTAAATAATTTGAGTGAACAATACGTAAAGAAAAAGGTTTCGCAGAGTTAAAATGGCACTAACCTGGTTTCTCCAAGCCAGTGTACTTGTTTAGCACAAATTGCTCTAAAAGCTTATCCACAGTCATATCATTAAATTGACGCTTAAAATCCGAATGCACCTGAGAAGGTAAATTATTTCACATACATTTTATGGAAATACGTACATTGCTTTAATTAGTGGTATACCAACCTGTCCAACCATGTCATGATTATTTTGCAGCATCTCCAAAAATGTGGATAAGAACTCTTTCATTTGACGCAAATGGACTTCTTCAATCTCTTGAAAACGCTTTAAAGTAAAGATGTGTATGTCGTAAGCTATTTTGATAAAATCTTATAACTTTTTATATGCTAATACACACCTTGCACGTCTGTGTCATGCGCCGCTCGAAGTCATTTTTGATCGGATTATGTTTGTCGAGTAGCGCTTTATATTCATCTTGTAATTTACGCAATTTTGTTTCGACCTTTTCGATGTCCTTCTGTGAGGCACTGTCCTTGCGCAACTTTTCCAGTTCCAGCACTTTGCTCGCGTAAAGGTCACGTAACTTTTGAACAGCAGCTGTCGATGTCTGCATCGCTTGCACACATTCCAAGGTATGTGATTCTTCTTCCTTAACGGTTTTGTGTTTTTTATGCAATTCATCGGCATACTTAGCGACATCCTTTACAAGCTCCGTAAGCTTTTGCACCATCTGCAGATGTAGTGTAGATAGCTTCTCGGCTGAAGTGCGTAGTATAGTCCAGACGGGGGCAAATGTACTGTTCAGTGTACCTGTACTGGCTTTGTGCGCCAACTTAGCCATTAATTTCGAGTTCTGTTCTTCAATATTGGACTTTTCGCGAAAGAACTCTGAAAGCTCTTTGCTCGCCACCCAACCAAATTTCATATTGTGATAGAGTACATCGAACCCATTGTTCTTCTCCCCCTTTATGATAGTACAATAAATGAAATAAAAACGTTACACAATTTCATTTTTTGCTTACCCAAAAATAATCGTTGAAATCGACCGTCATCTTCGTTTCGTATAATTTATCGTTGATGTATCAAAACCTAATTCCTTATACTATTATATAACTACTGCAAATATCGTTAAGCATTTATGTAGTTGTTTTAATTAATTGACCTCTTTTGATTATAATTATGATTTACATTTAAACCGCAAATTCGTTCGTTCATTTTTCCTAGGATGACATAAAGATCTTATTGGAGCAAGCTTCTGAGTCGCTACGTATAGTATTTCTCTAGAAAATCAAATAAAAAATACTGTAGTAATAACAGCTTGTTTCGATACATGCAATACCTGTACATAGATACACATACTATGTACATAAATTATAGCTTGTATATATAGGATGAAAATGTGTCAGTCCGTCCAGTGAAATAAAAAGTGGATTTCTCGAAAAATAAGTTGGCTAGCAAAGATTTGTATTCTTTCTAATTTTCGACGGTATGAAGTGATCGGTTGCTAACACGTAATATTTACTAAGTTTTCAGTAAATAAATATATTTACATTTAACTAAAAATATAGGATTTGCTGATATACACACACATATGTATTTCGATCCTGCATCGACTTAGAAAATTTGCCATTGAACTAACCCATTGAAATCACCAAAATTTCAATTGTCCGCAAGAAAACAGATTTAATAAAACTAATTTTAAAAAATATTTATTTATATGTAGTGCTGCACAATATGTACCTATGTATCTATTACTCGAATAAAATTAAGTATATCTAGTGATTAAAATATAGTTATTAATTAATCTTATTTGTTGCCATAGAGTTTGGCTTCGAGTTCTGTTTCACGGAGGCTAATTTCAGCATTTGCATGCTGCTCCTCCACTTTAGCTAACTCCTCGTCAAGCCGTTGATCCAAAGCGCGTACTAATATATGACAGCAATCTTTGATGGCATGATAAATTATGTTTTTAATCTGCAATTTGTCCTCGTGATTGGTGTGTGAATGTGATAAATGGCGAAATTCGTGGGTTAAATGATAACAATGTGTTATATTCTCTGGTGATACAAAGTCTTCTGCGACTTTGATGCAATTATGGAGATTTTGTACTTGATGTGGTGCACCAGCTGGGATGAACACTGCATCGCCCAGACATTGTACAATAGGATAGCCTTCTACACCATATTCCTTGAATAGACGTGCACGCAATTTATCGTCTAAATACCAATTCTGATCATGTATGGGATCATGGTCGGGCTCCAAACGAAAACCCTTTTCTATTGTCACGCGATTGAGTAGATCACGGATTTTATCAGCATCTCGAGCAGGGAAAATGTGCCACAATGCGCCCGGGAGGACGTTAGGTGTTTGGCATCGGGCACGTGTCAAATAATCGCAGCCACCCAAAGATATTGCTTTTTGTGTAGCAACCAATTGTGGTTTACTATCCGCGTCTTGTGGCACGCCTACATATACCATTATGTTTACAGCATCAGAAATGTCCAAATGCAAATTGGTGGTGCCTTTGTCAGGATGCAATGCCGAACCGTAGGCATTGTACATCTTCGGTCCTAAGTCGGGTGGTACAAACATCTTCGGCAAGCAGCTGGCAATATTCAAATTGCCTGTACGCAATGTGTATTCGGGCATAGGTAGACCATTCATGAGATCCGCAAAACGCGTCGGTAATATTTCAGCAAAATCATCGCCTGGCGGCCAATCTTTCAGTTTCAGCAACATCGGTTTACCATTGGCGTCTAGCAATCGCTTCTTAATGCATTGAAATCCCTCCCAAAAATAACGCATCGGTTGGTTCGGCACTAAATTGCCATTCAGGCAATTTATCAAGTCGTTTGGTTTGTCGCCGAAATCCTTACAGAAGGCTTCGGGACGCCATAAGTCCAAGTTCAGTGATCGCGCTACTTCCGAAATCATAACGGGCTGACCACATTTCCATACCTCTTGAAAAAGTATACGATTATCGGGATGCATAGCATTCGTTAGTCGCAATAGCTTGCCATCACATAACCATTCATGCGGTACACCAGGTGCTAGCATTGTCGAATGGGTTAACGTCATTGCCCGTGGCGGCAAAAACCGGCGTAAGCCTGCCAAACCCTTCCGTAAAAAGTTTATATGTTTAAAATTATCGAAAGCGGTTGTTATGGGATCCTTTCCCAAAGTTTGCTTGGTCCATACACGGCCTGGAACATAATCAATACCTCTCGCTCGTGCAAACTCCAACTTTTTAGCATGCAATTCTTCCATTCGCGCCTGCTTACGTAATGTCTCTTCAGTAGCTAGCGATGAAGCACTCGTCTGCTGCTTTAATTGAGATTCTTTGATTATGTCCTGTATTATAGTACCGAGTTCTGTATCTGGCGAAAAGTTTTGTTTGCTTAACAAGCAACCGCACATCTGGGGCACTTGCCACATGGCACGAATATCATGCAAGAGTCGACCCAAAACGTTTAGCGCATCACTAGCAATGATCTGTGTTAGCATAAGATCACGTAGTTCATGTTTTTGATAAATTGGCGTGGTTGCTGTACATAGCATCCAATGGAATTCATCATGTCCACGTTGCGTCTTATCACCAGTGCGCCTCTTTACACAACTGCGCTGCTCTTTGCGGTCTTTAAAACAGTCAAGACACACACCAAAGCCACACTTATCGCAAGTCCAATGAAAGTTAAACAGTGTTGTATCACACACATCGCATATCTCACGTAGACCTTGGACCACCTTCTTCCAAGCGATTATACTGTTCGGGTTTTCGTGTAAACGCAAGGCCTCGGCCTCCTGTTGCCACAGATAGCAAAATTGGTCACCGGCATGTAGCAATATATAGCGAGCAACTTGGATGTCCATCCATCCTGCAGTAGGGACACTATGCTCATCTGGTTGCCAGATGCGCAAATCGTCAGCAGTCGGGTCAGTATATGGATTGGGGAAGCCAGCAACAACTAATTCACCGATTTCGTTATACCGCAATCGACGGAATTCATAGAATCGACAATAAACATCTGAACCACCCTGAGAACTGCGGCGTCGACACTCCCGGCATCTCGGTATGGCATGGTCAGCTACAACGTTGTCATTGGAGATTGACTCGCCTCTAACAGCACTTTCCGAGTTGCGTTGAAGCTTGAAGCAAGGTAAGTGTTGAAGAAATGTTGCTCCCGATGCGCGTAACTCTCGATCACGCACTGCTTCTTCGGTTGTGAGTTCTTCTGGTGGGGGATGACTTTCATGTTCGCCACTGTTAGAGTGATTACTATTATCATCGAGTAATGTAGACGTGATTTGAGCGGATGTCAAGACGGACACTGTAGGGGTTGTGAACGCGTCTGCTATTTCTGGTAACGTTGTTGCTTCAATTTTTACTTTTGAATGCTCTTTTACAACATCAGCACCTTTGTTCATTTCGATGTTATCATATATATAGCACGGTTTACCATCTGTATTAATTTTGGACAGAACTTCCGGTATGACTTTTTGGTCGTTGTTATCATTGTTTCCAAATGTTAGTATTTCATTTTCACCATTCTCAATTTTCTCTGCGATGTCAATGACTTTACTTACAAAATCTTTTCCTTCTAAAATTACATCCTTCTTTCCATTATTGTCCTCCTCATTCGCTTCATTTTGCTCTAGTTTTTGGTCAATATTTTTTTGTAATTGCTTGTTTATATTCTCGATTCTAAGTAGTTTATCCTCTTGACTCTTCAATCTATGCAATTCAATAATAGTTTGCTCCTTAAGTTTACGTATGCGTTCCAACTCTGCAGCTTCTTCTTCATAATCCATGCCCTTATTAGAGATATGAACTTCAATAATTGATTTCCTTTCGCCGGGAATTTCCAATTTCGCATGTTTGGCATTTGGATTGTCTTGCATGATTGTATTATCACTTCCAGAACATTCATTCTCGCGTTTACGGATATTGGTTTCTGTCTTTGCGTTGTTTGAAGATTCATTTTGGGATGTTTGATCAACGTTTCCGTCATTATCTTCATTCACACTGTCGATTGAGCGTACTGCGTTATTATTCTCCTGATAATCCTTTTCCACCTTCGTTATCTCTGTATTCGCTTTTTCATTTTCACAACTTTCTATGGTTACTTTAGTTAGCAAGATATTCGTAGACTTGCCCGACTCTTCTGATTCCTCATAATCTTCCGTTATTTCAAGATCCTTATGTGGCTTAGACAAATAGTCCCCAACTTTTTCTTGCATGTTTTTTATTTTATTATCATTATGTTTTGACAATGCATCCTTTAATTCCTGCTCGATCTCGTCTTTCATATCCGGCATTTCACGTAATAGCTCCTCCGCCAAATTGTGGCATGCTCCATCCGAGTCCACCAGTTTGTCAGTTCCTTCTGACATTTCTTTCTACGTTTGCAGGTATAGATAGATCTGGCAGTGTGATAGTGAAAAAGATAAACAGAAATTAAGAGAAAAACCCATGTTAATTTTCACTGCTCAAACGTACACACACCCTTACTTATCAAATGCAGTCGTAAGCGGGTAATGTTTGGGCGGAAGTGAGTACTCTCGATCGGTGCTTCTCGCAATATGGTTTTCCCCACTCGTTATTTCAATTCATGTGCTAAAGTTTTAACAGATATATTGCCAATTTAATACTTGAATCGCGCGAAAGGTAATGTTGGTGGTAGTTTAAATACTAAAAAACCAATTTATTCTTACGTATATCTTTTGTTTATTTTGAATCGGGCCAGCAAATGTTTAACACGTTTGTTTAAAGGGCCAGTTAAATAGAAGGAAAATATCAGAGTGTAGAGGAAACCGCTCTAATTTGTCATTTATTATACATAGATAGATTTAGAATTTTTGAATATAATACTCACTACCACCACATTGCCTGCACTTACCGTATCATAACTTATTGTAAATAATTACAAATACAATACATTTTTAAAAATTATAAAGAAAACATGTTAATGTCTAACGGATGTACACCAAAAAGAAATGCTACGCAAATGTTGCAAAAACAAAATTTATACTATTTCTACGTGTAACCATGTTTGGTCGAGCAAACGATCTTGGGTCGAGTGTTTGTTATCCACCGAATTTGTACACAAATCTGTGTATATAGATATGTACTTATAAAGAGATACTGTACTTATAAAGGATTTATGCCTACATAAACACCATGACTACTCTGATAGTGAGTTAATGAACATGGAGAAAAAAAAACATTTTAAACAGTAGTGGTAATTTTCAAGGCAAAAGAAAGAACGTTTTTTATCACCATGTTCATTAACGCTTATCTGAATTCTGTTCCGCCTATTTGTATAAAAGCGATAATACGTACATGCATAATCCAAACAAATAAGCAAATTTCTCATAAAATTTGCCAAGCCGCTTTTTACGTAGTCCAGTTCAAGGTTAGAAACATGCCTGGCGTTAATTTTTTTTATATATAAAAATCTAGAGAATTTTTTCAATTCATTTATGCTTTTGGCATTGCAAATTTACTAAAATTTTGGCATTGTTATTTAAATTCTACGTTCAATATAAAATACTGGATGTCTTAATTAAGGTTCATAACAACCGTTTAGCAATCCTCCTGTGATCACACCTAGCAAAGAATCCATCTAAAACTTAATTACACTTAACTGCAAAGCCGTGTGATTAAAAACCAAGCCCCTTCGGAATATGCTACGTGTGCTGTACAAAAAATTAATATATCGGTTAAATTGTCATTTCCCATTCGCATTACAATTGTGTCTTTTTATAGGCCCTTGCGTTTATTGAGCGGTACTTGTGCATGCTTAGTGAAATCGGTTTTATTTGCTTTCAAACACAAAGGCAGTAACATCGGTCAACATATGAATAATCAACAACAACAGCAGTTATATAACTATTATTTGAATACACCCCTTCTTAAATTAATATAAATTGAAAAAGTTCAAATGGCACATGACCTTTTAGTATGTTAAATATATTAGTTTGATTGAGCTAAGTGTAAAGTCAAAGTGTTGACGTATAAAACAACATTAGTGCCCTTATTGATTGTCGCGTAAAGTATTGCGAAGACCAGATTGCGTCTGGTTCAAAACGATTTTCAATAAAAATTGGATGTGGACTAAATGACTAATAGTAGCTTTAGGAACGTTAATAATTTTAAGAAATACGTTAATGATAAAAAGTATGCGCTAGATTCATAATAATATTTAATATACACATACAAATGTGTAATAATCAAAGAAATAGAATAAAGAAAAGTAAAGTTATCTCAAAACATTTTTTAAACATTTTGAGTAGAGACCCGACCAAACTCAGGCTGAGATGTAGCGCCATATATTTGAATTATATATACATACATACATATATATGTACATACCTAGCCATTAGGAACTAGGCAAACATAAATGTTAGAATTCAAAAGTTGAGTATTTAAATTATTTTGTTGAATGCAGATAAATATTTTATATTTACATTGTTTTTATACATACATGATTAAACTTACAGGCATTTCTAAGTATTGTTTCACTTTGATATTTTTATATAATATTTTAGCCAAACATTTGCACATTTTTCTAAAGTAAAATTTTTCACGTCATTCTTATACCACTCGATGAAAAAAAGTTACAATCTAATTAGAAGAAACAATTGACATCAAATGAAAACTCACATCCAACAATCTACTGCACAGTATGTTTATAGGCATAGTATAATTGGCTTTGCACACATTATATCACTGATTATTTTTGAACCCAGTTTGAATAGGAATTAGATGGGCGTAAAGACTTTCTGGAAATTATCACATGTATGAATCTCATAAATGTTGAGTTTAATTAATTCCCTTTCCACTACTTGTTTAATTCTCACTTTTTCTGCCACAAACATGTACTACGATTTGCAGCACATAACTGCATCGCTGAGCCACAGATGTTTGTGACGCCGCGCCGAATGAAAATCAATTTGTACGATACCAAAGCACCATATAAATGAAGGGAAAGCGAATAATATAATTAATATTAAAAAAAATTTATACTCTAAATTATTTAATTTATAGATACTAATTTTTACAAATTAATATTACGAAAATTTACAAATTCAATTTCATATAATTTATGTACATATATACATACTTATTTGAAAACTCACAATTCTTAATCGACAATTGTCAAACCCCTTAGGTTCAGTTACAACCCTGGCTGAAGGTTTCTCGTTTTTCCTATTTATGTATATTCTCCCAATTTTTCATATCAACGCACCAATATTTAATCAATACAACAGAATTAAAATTTGTTTTTCTTAGTAAAACAAAAAATTAGTAATTTGACACAATCTTCGACCATATCGATAATTTTTCACTATACAGTGAAGAGAAGACGATTAGGAGTACTAACATACGTTTGCCTAAACTCAGGAACTCTATATCGTTCTGATCGAATTTTACTCACAATTTGTTTTCCACTTATTATTTATTAAGTCCTTTTGCGTTTTACAATATATTCGTAGATTTTTTAAAGGTTCTTCCACATTTTAAATAGTTCGAACTATGCGGTGATATTCTCCACTTTCCGTATATCACTCTTTATCTCTATCAATTATTTACCACCTTTACTTTTTGTGGGATGTATGTTTTGTAAAGCATTGCCAGCTTCGCTGAAAATTTAAGGTGGTCAAAAATTAAAGTTTTTCAGGCTTCGAATGGTTTTTCCAAAATTAACCGAATGGCGTTTTCATTTATTTGGAGGCATTAAAAGACTAACTAGTATATAACATTCAGAATTAATCACTTAAGCGAAGCATTTGTTGTTAGATGATTGTAAAATCTCTATTATTTTAAGGATTTTCATGAAGCATCTATTTATGTACTTCTATTACTGTTTATGCTATTGTATAATTAGTGTAATTGAAACATTTGAAAATAAATTAATTTGTGTATAAAACTTGGTAAATTTATTTAAAGGGAAATTTGACTGAACAAACCAGAACAAGATTTTCAGAGACTTTGTACTCCATAGGCATAATAAACTTAAATGAGATATATGTGTTATAAACCCAACTAAAGGGTTTCATATATTAGGAAAGGATTAAACAGAAAATAATTATGTAATATTAGGGATATGGGGTTTAAGCCAAGGTCTCGACCGTTTCTTTTAATATTCAGCACTAAAGAAATTACACACTTATTGACAAACATAAACGGTTTAAAGTCAAGTCGGAAATGGCTACAATGAATTTTGTTGACTCGTCTCGTCATCATTTGTATCTACAATATATGAATATTTTAGGTGTTACAAGCAACCATTATCCTCTGGAGCAACATGTTGCGAGAGTACAAAAATTGTGTAGTAAAAAAATGTTCAACTTATTATAACTGTAAATTTCTTTTTGATCATAATTATGAATGCAAATGACTGACATAGAAATATAAAAACAATTCACTACGGTACATATTTATTTTATTTATGTTTAATTATCATGTATCGAAACATAGATTTTCAAAATCTTGTTTTGAAAAAATTTAATCTGCACATAGATCCCGCATAATGTAAATATTTAATTCATATGTTATAAAAGATGTCTTGTATATAAATTAAGTTGGAAATAAACAACAGCAAAACTAAAAAAAAATTGACAATGAATGAACTTTACATATTAAACATGATAAAACTTATCATCTTGTATTAAATTCAGACTTGCAACTTACTAAAATATTTGAAATTGAAATAAGCCGTGTAAGTAGTATATAGAAAAATAATCAGCAGACCGGTTTATAAGAAGTAACACTCATCATTCCCCTTCAAACCCCCATAGATTTTCAAATAGCCGGTTTTATTTACCATTGAGTTTCTATGAAGCTATTTTTTAAGCTGTTACATAGATAATAATTTTCCCGGTCATTTTAGCTTCATAATTTTTTTCGGTTTCATGAAGCAACTTTTTTATAACTAGGCAAGGTTGCTTTATATGGTACAACATTTTACAACAAAAACAATCTCATAAATATAAAATATATATATTTTTCCTTTAAGATAACTGGTCGGCGATTTCAGTTTTCTAACGAAAATTCGACAATGAAAAACCGTTATTTTGATAACTGGTGATTATTTATCATTGACATGACTCCTCTAAAAATTGTAGTCTCGTTATAGGTATATAAAACTGTTTTTGCCCTTATGTACGCGATAATTTTCATATTTACTAATTTTGCAATTTTAATCCTATTATGATGAGAATATGATGATGTAAGCATATAATAAATTACATATATAAAATATAGAGGATGACATTCACAATCATTATGCGTTAATCTTACAATGGAAGTAGGATACATTGTTCGGCAAGTTTAAAACATTCTTGCCTTAGTTCCACCTTCACAGTTACAATAAAAATACAAAAATATTTTTTAAAGGAATTGATTAAATATAAAACTCAATATTTTAATTTTTTATTACTTTTATAAAAATATGCACGCGAATTTCAGCACCAAAAAGTATAAAACGGAGAAAATATTTTCAAAAAGCGAAAAAAATCAGTTTAGCTTACTGTGCGTTACAGCTAGTACACTTAATTTAATCTTCATCTTGCATTTTGTTAGTTTTTACTTTTAATGAATTTCAGTAAATTTATTTTATAAATTACCAAATGTTTTTTCTGTGTTAACATGCATACATAAAACAAAGCACGTATTAAAGAAACGATGAAATAAAAATCAGGCAAGTGAATGTGTTCAAATATTTTCTATATTAATATAGTTGAAAGTACATCTTGACAGTTTCAATTTTAATAAGGTTTTATAAAGCTTCAACCAGTTTGATATTATTTTTTTGATTTGTGTCAAATATGATTGCATTTTCATTTTTGGTTTCAACTATATTAACATATGCAGACTTTTGATAGTTTTGTATACTTGTATACTTGTAATTTAGAAGGATACAATCTATGAATACATACAACAGCACGATTATTTAGTACGAGTGACAGCATATTTATCAAAGTTATAAATTGTATCTTACCTTACTATATAAATAAATATTTCCAACGTATGGAAAGCACACATAGAAGATAATTAAAATAGCAAACGGTATAAAAAACTAATAAATCAAACATACTCCTTGAATTAGAAATTAAATAAATATTTATGTCAAATGCCAGTTGCAAGAATACATAAAAACGTATTAAAAATTGTGCGCAGAAATAAAGTAAAAATATCAAATGAACATATTTCTTTACTTCCAAAATATATTTTGGATAGTTTTATGTTTTCATTTAATTTTTTTATACTTTCCCAGTTCGTCTGTGCCCCTGTGTAAGGTTTTGCATATTGTAAAATTTACACTTTTATATGTGTGCGTTTACTAATGTTATGCAGATTCTTAGATGAAAAAATATGTGCTTTATTTGTTGTTTTCCGGTTCTAGCTGTACTATTATTGTTGCTGTTTTTTTTCTTTTTACAGCCTCCTCATCACAGGCTATCTCTCTTATCGAATGTCTGTTTAGTTCGTTTTCGTTGTTGTTTTGGTTCTTGAAATTGTCCGGTTGTCCGAATGTGTAGGTTACCTAACCTCGTTTAGCCTTAATATAAGATCATTTACAGCAATTCGCATTTGAATTTATGATGTGGTAGCTTATGATGTTTGCGACCTTTTTTCCCCCTATGCTCTTTATCCTTTCGAATCTCACGGACTAATGTGTAAAAAGCGTCATCTACGCCCATTCGTGTCTTGGCGGATGTCTCAACAAATGGAATGCCGTATTGTTTAGCAACCTGATGAATATAATTGTATTTATTACATTTCAATATAATATTAATCCATAGTTGATTATATTTGTATTAAGTAGTTAAATCACACCGGTGCTCACCTCTCTGGCTTGGTTCATATTAACTGCCCAGGCTTGCAGATCGCACTTATTTCCTACCAGCACCATTGGTACCTCTTCCGCGTCTTTTACGCGCTTTATTTGCTCTCGATATGTGCCTGGGAGTATAAGGTTTTTTATTACATTGTTTATATAGTTATGCTTAGTTTGCTAAATTTAATATCGATTTATACAAGGGATAAATCTATCTATTGCCGTCAACCAGTCAGAATAAGCATATAAAAGCCTCACCAATATCTTCAAATGACTTCGCACTATTAACAGCAAAAACGAGCAGAAATCCCTCTCCAGTTCGCATATATTGATCACGCATAGCTGAATACTCCTCTTGACCAGCTGTATCTAAAATATCCAACAGACACGTTTCACCATCTGGAGAGTAAATAATTTAGTACAAATTAGAAATAAAAATAAGTGGGTTATATATCATATATACGTATTATTCCATTTCTAATTAACATATTCATATATTACATTGATACAATATGATTACCAACTTACCTATAACCACTTGCTTCCTATAAGAATCTTCAATTGTTGGATCGTATTCATCCACAAAATGATTTTGTATTAACTGGATTGTAAGGGCAGATTTACCAACACCTCCAGCACCTACAACCACTAATTTGTACTCCGTCATTGTATTTTCTTCTTGTTTAGAGATATTTCAATAAACTTGTCTTTGGAAGTAGGATTTAACGTAGTCGTAGTCCGTTGTTTTCTGTAGGTAACTGCTTTTTTTCTGGAATGGTTATAATTCTTGTACCTCCAGCCAGACTGTTCCAAATTTCAATTGTATAATGTTTATCTTTACAGCTTAAACTGCAACAAATAAAATAAGGATCAAGTAATTACATATGTAGGTATAACCACACAAACTTTTAAATTCCAATGTCGACTGTTGTCATCGGAGTTGTAAGTTGCCTATTAAAATTAATTAAAACATAATGGCCCAGTAAAATTAAAGCTATGTATTAATTTGTTGTTGTTTTCTTATATTGTTCGGCACTGCGAGTGACTCATGTTGAGACGAGTATGTCCCAAAGTTATAATGAAATAAAAACAGTGCCTACACACAGTTCACTTTACTGCATTTTTTCATAAGCTTGAACAAACGCCCATAATGTATACTAGTGCAGCCGGATATATGTATGTATATATATTCGCAAAATAACCCGTGTTCATACCCAAGCAGATTTCTCCACACACACCGCTTCACTATAGAACGGCTCCTTTAAACCTTCCGGTAATGACTAGCTAAATAATAAAACAAGGACGTTTGCACTATTTATATTCATTTGACTTTACAATATCACTATTAGTAATTTGAAATTATATCCATCTTATAAATCACAGTAAATTGTTTCTATAGTCGTCTTTCATTGCCTATGCTTGTTCTTCCCATTATTTTCTATGTTAATTTTATTTGTTGATTATTAGCTAATATTTTGAATATAGGTGTAAACTCACTACCGTACCTTTACTGCACATGCGAATGGTGCAGTGGATGGGAAAGCAACTTAACTAATTTGTTTATGTTTTCAACAAATTCACTGTGAAATATTCGTTTTTTCAACAAAAGATCAACAAGACACTGTCCGCCCCGATTTTCGTTTTGCTTTTCACAGTTTCGTCGCCATTTTGCCTACTCAGGGTTGCATTGGTTGTGTACAAACTTAACGCAAATAAAGCACGTATTTAATATATGTGTAATTACATGATACAAATATATAGAAATAAAACAACTAAGCCTGTTTCCAGTTAAATTTCTAAAAAAATCTTAACAAAGGGTAAATTCCACTATTAGAAAGTCGGTAAAATTATTTGAACTTTTCACTTAATCCCAAAAATATAAGTTATAAAACCAGTGTAGTATGCAACACTCCGGAGTGTTGTGTTCACAATAGCCAAGGGTATATGTATGTTTTTTGATCGTATACGATCCTTTATCGAATAGGAACAACAATATTAAAAAAGCATGCGAAATTGATAAAAAACAAGTACTATATAAATGATTTAGTAATCATAAAAATGGTTAATAAATTGGAATTCAATAACTTGGTAGGTGAAATTATTTTTATTTCATATTAAATAACATGTATAAATGATTTCAATAGGTTGTCACCAACAAAAAGAAAATTCAACTAATAAAGACGAAGTCCATTCAGAAATTGGTCCAAAAAATTAAGAAGCTTAAATATTTATTAGATAAAAACCCTGAACATGAAAAAAATAAGGAACGTTTCCGCAAAGCTGCTCTATGCCTTGAGGAAATGAAGGTAGGATATTGTTTAAATTTGTTTTTCTTTTTCATATATGTTGTCGAATTTTTCTTTCCAGAAATTAAAATGCATCGTTTTGATGAAACGCGTTTTAATTCTAGAAAAATCTCCATCAGCTATTTTAACGAATGGATTATCCTCCGCGGATGAAATGGCTGTGGCTATGGTCGGTGATAATAAATTAATGCAAGAGCTTGTAAAAGTTTTTAAAGAAAAATTAGGAATTTCAAATGAAAATAAAAGCTGGAAGAAAGAGTTAATGCAAGCGAGTAAAAAACAAATTAAGATTACAAAAACGGAAAAGAAACGAAAAAGTCGTAAAGCTTTAAAAGAACAAAAAGCCATGGCACGTAAACGTACTGAGTGGTTGAAAAATCAAAATGGTACACAGGATATAGTAAACATTAATGAGCAAAAGAACGAAGTAGTATTAAAAGAAAATGATGAGGGTGCTAATATATCTACGCTAGGTTACTGGAAAATAGAGGAAATAGTGAATGAATCTCCTGATGAAAATAAAAAGGCAATTGTAAAAGAGTACACAGAAGTGTCTGAACAACAACAAACTATTAAAAACTCTAAAACATCCTCGAAAACTAATGTGAATACTTCTAAAAGTGAGCATAAACCATGGCCCAAATCAGAGAAAATGAAAAAAAGTTCAATAGATAACAATAGGAACGAAACGTCTGTAAGTTTAAATTCTCCCTTTGACTATAATTTAAGCGGTAGCAATGTTTTGGAGAAAACTAATCAAGAAATTGTGACACACGTTATCGACCCATTTTTTATCACAGATAGTGGTGAAAATTACCGTTCTTCTGCCGTTGTTGTTCGTAATGGAACAGTTTTTGATCCACAAATCTCTAAAAAGTCTATAGAAATTAAACCGCTGGAAAATAAGCAAAAAAGGTCTAGAGAAACATTCAGGAACCATCAAAAATCTTTCGATCATTTTAGACCATCTAATGCGAGAGAAAAAACTTCAGACAAATCTATTCGGAAAACCTGTCAGGAATACAAAACAGAAGAGTTGCATCCTTCTTGGGCAGCGAAACAGAAACTTAAAACCGTAATAACTGTCTTTCAAGGCAAGAAAATTAGATTTGATACTGATAATGATCAGGTCGATGAGGAAGCCATCAATATTAATTCCAAAGTAGTTAATATAGGAAGTCAGTATAAAAAACATTTATCAGCAAACCCAAGAAAAAACAAACATACAGGAGAAGCGATACATCCTTCTTGGGCGGCAAAGCAAAAATTTAGTGCGGCAATAACAGATTTTAAAGGGAAAAAAATATCGTTTGGAGATGATGGAGTGCTGCAATCTAGTTCTGATCACATTAAGGCACCATTGCAACAAGAAAGTCTAAGTACTGTGAATGGACTTCATCCTTCTTGGTTAGCAAAACAAAAACAAAAACCAACAATAACCACTTTTCAGGGTAAAAGGACAACTTTTCAAGACGATGAATAAATTTACCAATTAGGTTTTAATGCAATATGCAGTTATAAATTTGTGTTAATTTTTTTATTCCAATAATTTTTTGGATGTTGCAAAATATTCAAATGTCAACTTTTGGCACGAAATGTCCACGCGTTTTATCATTCCTCAATAGTTTATCAACATCTACATCTGGATATTTCCTCCGAATAATTTGAATATCAATATTCGGATTGCGTCGCAACATCATCATAACTTCATTACGGGAACGACTATATAAATAAATATATTAAAGAAATATTAACTTAATAATATAAATATCAAAAACGCACTTCTTGGCCTTTCGTTTAATGTTATACAGCTTCTCGCGATATAATAACAGGAATTTACGCACTGCTCGCCCACCGAAACCAATATTACGTGATTTTATCCATTTAACATTCATATGCGGTGGTAACACATGTTCACAAGATCTAAAAGTATATTTTACAATATGTCAAATAAACGAACATCGACTCAAATTACATGGAATTACCTATAGAGATGCCTTAAACCGAGTGTATTGTATACCATGCGAGTGGGCCGCTCTCCTGTTTCACCAGTTTCCAAGAGATGATAGGCCTTATTTCTTTCGCGTACAACCGTTTCCAAGTTTTCCATCGATACTTTAACCTATATAAAGTGTTTTGAATTTAATAAAAATAAACGTGAAGCAATATATACCTTATCTAAACGCTCAGGACTAGGAAATAACTCCATTTTTTCATTGCATTCATGTTCCATTGTTAGTAGCATATTTCGCTCTTTGAGTAGAATATACCACAATTGGTGCAGATCTTTATTTGATTTAATACGTAATTCCTCCAGTTTCCATGCACGACCAACCTTTACTTCATTTTCTGACCAGTTCTTGGGGTCATCGAAGAATTGCATTAGATCTAGGCAAGGTTTGCTACAATGGAATGACCGCGTACTCATATCAACAAAAAGAGCATTTTGAGACATTTGTTGTTGCTGGCATTGTATTCTACGAATAAAAGATTCAGGTTATGTAAATCAGATAATTTCATTTATGGCAATTTGAACAATGATTTTACCTCTTTAATAATGCATTAGTCAATGATTTATTTGAGATACTCGTACAGACTGTTTTTACAGTCTTCGCCACATTTAATATTTTCAAAACCGAGCTCATTTTTCTGTTACAAAGTATATTAATTGATGAAACAATTGTAACAACAGCTGTTTTACATTTTTAGCAGAGAACATAGAAATCTACGTTCTCTGTTTTTAGTACTAATGGATTCACAATAAACATATGTTTCAGTTAGATTACAAAGCAAAAAATTAAATTAGAAGAGCAAATTATTACCTTTGGTTTGTTCATGGATTAATTTTATATTGTGAGGTAATTGTTTGAATACTTGCTATCTAGATTCTTAAGCATTAATGAGTGAGAGCGAAAATAAGTGTATACTAGCCTTAATTTTTATGTTCTTTATACTATTCACAGTAAGGTTTTCACGATAATCAACACTGCTAAATCTCGGGTGGCATTCAATATTCCGCCATTTTTCATTTTCTCTATCTGTCGGCGTTGTTCTTGAGAAACATTTGTCGCAAACAATTTGTGTGCAAAAACTAAACTAAATAGATATAACAGGGTACAAACTTTGTTGAGATATATACAATTCAATAAATCGTAAATTTCGTGGAATTTTTAAATTTGGTGGTAAGTGAAGTGAGTTTAGATATTGAAGTAAATATTTCCGCCATTTTAATTTAGCAAAAGTATACACCGACTAAGAAGTTTTTATTTTATTTTAAATATTTTATATTACAGCCGAAATGAAAACAGAGGGTAATGATAACTCTAATGACAGCCGAGAGAAAGATAGGGATCGACGTGGACGTGGAGCACGTGCATCCAGATTTTCGGATGCTGACGCTGGAGGTCTTGGCAGCGGAGGTGGAGGTGGAAGCAGCAACTCTGGCGGCAATGTTAACCGTGATCGCAGTCGTGAGCGACGGAATTGTCGTGTTTACATTTCAAACATCCCATACGACTATCGTTGGCAAGATTTAAAAGACTTGTTCAGGCGTATTGTTGGATCTGTTGAATATGTAGAATTGTTTCACGATGAGAATGGAAAAGCACGTGGATGTGGAATTGTCGAATTTAAAGATCCTGATAATGTAGAGAAAGCTTTAGAAAAAATGAATCGCTATGAAATAAATGGGCGCGAATTAGTTGTTAAAGAAGATCATGGCGAACAACGTGATCAGTATGGTCGCATTGTGCGTGACGGAGGTGGGCCGGCACGAGGAAGTGGTGGTGGTGGCGCCGGTATCGAAATGGGTGACCGAGATAGAGGATTCTCCCGAAGAGATGATGACAGGTAAAATAAAACTTAATTTATTTATTTTTTATTTGTAAGAGGTATTTGGTATTTATTTAATAGGCAGAAGTTTTTTTTTTGACAAACTTCTATTGGTTATACATTTTTTAATGTTTTTCGAGGTTTGAGCGTGCTATAGTGAATTAATCATTCAAATATATCCTCTAGTTTCAAAACGGGTTAATGTTAGGGAAGTGGAATTCCTGTCTCTAATGCGAATTTTTGGGCTAAATCAATAATTTCGTAAACCCTAGCTAATTTTGTACGTTATAAAATAAAGTTGGAATCTAAACTGAGCGAAAGGTATATGCTTCTCTTTATTCAAAATTATAATGCAGTAGAAAATCAACAATATAAGAATTAATATTTTATAATTGTTTTACTTAGGCTTGGTCAGTTCGTTTAGTTGAATAATATTGTTCTTCATATCACAGCCTGGCGATTATTTTTGTGTCCACACAGAATATTGATGGTAAACATTTGAATAGCATTGAGCTATTTCACCCAAACGCTTATAATATTTTCTTGGAAATTTCCGAAGTGAAAGGTGCTATTGTAAAAACGATAACACTTGAAGGTTGGTGTATTCTTGTTTTAAGAATGGGTTTCGTTCAATTCTGACGGTATTGAATTTTCAATTAGTATTAGAAATCAGACCTTTTAATTATTTATGAAATATTTTTCCTAAGGTATCGAAAATGCATCTTTTATTTTGAACTGCAGATTCCGCAAGCTGAAAAGTAAATGCCTATATATATCGCTTCAATTCATAACGTTGATATTTAAGTTAGTATAGTGTGTATTTTGGCAAATTTTAAGTATCGATAGAAGAAGGATGTTCATCAATCAGATATTTCGATGGATCTTAGATATATAATATTTATTCTTATGTAACAACGAATATTTCAACGTGTCTACGCGTTTTTTAGTCGATCTTCACCTTTGTTTCTCTGGATGATGTGTTTACCGCTGACTTTTTCCGATAACGTGTTCTTTTTCTAGATCTGGGCGTAATAATTTTAACATGATGTCTAATGATTTTAATAATTCATCGAATTACAATTTGTATGGGCTTTCTGCTTCGTTTTTGGAGAGTCTGGGCATAAGTGGACCTTTGCATAATAAGGTTTTTGTTGCTAATGTGAGTATATAATTTTTATGTAATCAAAGAAAAAATGTAAAACAGACGTGTTTTGGTATCGGGGGTTGTAAGCCTACTGGTAATTGTAAACAAACGTAGAAGTGACTCTTAGATCTAAGTTCTTTGACCTAAGTTTGTAAGTTATAAAATATTGTTGGAATCTAATATTCGTTGAAACTTACTTGGTTTATAATTCATATAGTAGAATGTGATGTCTACTAGACCTAGACCTTTAAATCAGTTCGGATTGCAATATGAGTGAAATGTCAACAAATATTTAGCGTACTTTTATGATGCCTTTATATCTTACGCTAATTCACTAATTAGGTGTATTTGTTAACCAATGCTCTCAATTCTTCTAAGTTGCTCAGATCACTTTTAATCTTGCTTAAATATTTTCCCCTCTTGGTTTTGTACATCGGCGTCCTTGTTTAATTGTTGAAATTATTTAGTTAATTTTTCTAATATTGTATTGTATAATATAAAAATTTTACCAATGCTGGAGGCGGACAAATTCGATTCATCGATCATCATTCGATTCCATTTGCAAATTATTTGGTTTTCAAACCGTGTCATAGATAATTTGGTGATATTTTGTATATTGCATTCAGATTGGTCCGTAAATACAAATACAAAGTGGAATTCCGGAGTGGGCACTATTCAACCTCTGCGTCTCAATGGCTTTTCATTACTTGTTAACCTGTCTAAACATGCTTATATTTATGCCTTATTTATATATAAATATTCCTTTGAATTAACTTTATACAACTCGTCTTACACAGCTGGACTATAAGGTCGATACTAAGAAACTCAAACAAGTTTTCAAGTTGGCCGGAAAAGTACAGAGCGTAGATCTATCCGTTGACAAAGAGGGTAACAGTCGTGGCTTTGCTGTTGTGGAGTACGACCATCCGGTAGAGGCTGTACAGGCTATTTCTATGCTGGATCGTCAAATGCTTTTTGATCGACGTATGACGGTTCGTTTGGATCGTATTCCAGATAAGGGAGAAGGTTTGAAATTACCAGAAGGACTTGGTGGAGTTGGTATTGGACTTGGTCCAAATGGCGAACCATTAAGAGACGTGGCTCGCAACTTGCCCAGCATTATTCAACAGCAACAGAATCAACCAAATCAGTCATCGTTATCTTCACAAGCCGGATCCAACATCTTGGGGAACATGGTAGCCAATTTGGGAGGTGGCGGTAGCGGCGGTGGAGGCAATACCGCCATGTTTAGCAATCAAGCAGTCCAGCCATCTCCAGTAGCTCCAGTTGTTCAGGCAGCAGCAAAATCTCTGGGTAACAATGCAGCTGGCCTAAATTTGGGAAATTTATCTTCCACCAATTTGGCGGCATTGTCGAATGTAGTTGGAGGTCTTGGTGCCGCACTTTCCAATCCATTACTTACAACGTCTCTTAACAACCTGGGGTTGAATTTGGGCCCGTCGGGTGGCGGAAATGAAGATTCCATGTCTTCGGCCAATGCAGCTTTATCCAACAACTACAGCACAGGCGGCAACAACTATAGTTCCGGTTTCGGAGGATCTTCCGGTTTTAATACAGGCAGTGGTGGAAATTCTGGTGGAGGCTTCAACGCATACAACAGCAGCAGTGGTAACACCGGTGGAGTTGGCGGTGCCATGGATGGCAACGATTACAGCGGTAGCGGTAACATCGATATGTATAGTGGAGGTGGCAGTGGCGGAAGTAATGCAGGCAATACCAGCAGCAATCCACGCAAGTCGGATACTATTATTATTAAGAATGTAAACAATTTGATTTATTTTTGATTTTATATATTTAATGCGCTATGTGATTCCAGATTCCATTAAGTTGCACTTGGCAAACTTTGCGGGATAAATTTCGTGACGTTGGCGAAGTAAAATTCGCCGAGATTCGAGGCAATGATTTAGGAGTGGTACGGTTCTTTAAAGAACGAGACGCTGAGTTGGCTATCGGTAAAAAAAAGCAATAATGTGTAAATTATCAAGTGTGTTAAACTAACTTATTTTTCTACTTATACATTTAAGCATTAATGGACGGTTCCCGAATGGATGGTAGGACGATTAAAGTTACATATTTCTAAACATACTATAATCACTAGCCCGTAGACGTCATTACTATAAAATAAAGATTTCTCAATATCCCAGCACTATCATTTAAAGAATTTCGCATGCATATGTGTATTACATGTTTTATTTACATATATATTTCGTGTTTTTTTTTTATAAATAAGCAAACCTTTCACATCATTGACAATTTAACAATCTTATCCGCAATTGCGCAAACCGTGATAAGAATGATTAAGCCAAGTAACTTCCGTTTTAACTAAAAAATATTTTGAGAATTGTATGATTTACGATTATGAATAAAATCTAATAAATACAATTAAATTTTTTATTGTCAAAATATCGAGATACTTCTGCAGTCCCGGCGTATTTCAATAACTTAATAAAAGAACATTGTACAACTAATTGTGTTGTACTTGTCTCTATGCACATAAATTATTTTCAAATCGGACATCATGACAACGTAATACATTGTATACCGCCGTTGCATATACTATATATGTAGTGTAGCCAACTGGTCTTGAGCAGAAATATATATTTATTTTAGGCGTACATATGTATTGCCACCCCTATTGTTTATATTTCCGAACCGTTTCGGCCAAGCTGCAGACAATTAAATATAAACTATTTTTTTTCTTATTGAACTCTTTATTGTACGGTTAATAAGAAACATCTTCCTAAAATGGTAATTTTTTTTATTCAAACAATATTTGCATATTCACCGAGTAAGTGTTTATGCTTAAATGTGCAGAATGTAATTAAATGTTATGGATACAAATTTAACTATGTAGCATATCCTTGCGGTTACGGAGTAGAACTAGATGTAATGTACGTTAGTAGTTTGTAGGTGATGATACAAATTATTTGGATGGCTCTAATTACCAGCAATTGAGGTTGGAGGTGTTGATGGCGTGACCACTGGTGCTAGTTCTATACTCGGCTCGCTATTCTCAGTATTTCCGCTCGATGTGGCAATTTGTTTATCAGTTGATAATGATTGAGTATTTTTGAAGCGTTCTAAACGTGCTCGTGCCTTTTCAGCCCACATGTCATCTGATTTTGTTGAACCGACAGCAACACCGGTTGATGTGGTTGAACTCCCCGCACCGAATCGTTCTTTTCGCTTCTGTAATTTCTCCGCAGCATCGATTTTTGCCATTTTTGAGGAAACAACGCAACCAAAACGTTCCGCTCGTTTTTTCAGCATTTCCATTTGTTTGACATCATTGACAACGGGCTCTGTGGTAACGCTACTTATCTTTGTATTGCTAACAGGTTTGGTTGAGATTGCAGCAGTGGTCGAGTTTGAGCCTAGTCCAAATTTCTTGGCACGAAGTTCCAAACGTTCCATTTGGGTTAATTGTACCACTTTTGGCTCTTTAGAACTGAGATCACTTACGGTGATCGGATTGCGCTCACTCATTTTCAAAACCTTTTCCTTTGGTGGCTCGGTATTCTCTTTTGCTGTTGTTGATGTTGCGTCTTCAGTGGCCGATGAAACTTTGTCCCCGTCATTTGTTAAGGTGACTTTACGTTTCAAAATAATTGTTTTTTTATTAGTTGCCGTATTTGTGACATCGGTACTTGGCTTATTCTCGTTCAACGGAGAAGGCAATTCAGAAGCAGTAGGAGTACTGGTAGGACTTTTAAGTAACTCGTTTTCATCTGCAGCAATCGGCGATTCCTCTTCATCGGTTAATACAGCATCGTCATCAAGCAGTGCGTCCTCATTCGTAATAGCTGAATCTTCTAGAGAAATATCACCCTCAAGTAGCGCTGTTTGTAGGCGGTCTTGAAGTTCCGTTTTATTACCCGTGGTAGCAAGGCCACGCAGCTTTAGCTCGCGCTTCAAATCAGCCACCTAAAAAGCAAGTTATGTACATTAGATCATCAATCACCGATATAGAAGATTACATCATTTACCTTCATTTTTGTTACATCCGATTCCGGCATAATTTTGGTGTATTTTTCTTAACTTTTGGCAAAATTAATTTCTTCACTGTAGCCTTCTTATTGTTTTTCGTTCAATCACACAAACACACCGGGCATCGACGAATTGACGTTATTCTGTGGAATATGTTCAGTACATGCACTGCAAATGAATTTATCGAAATGTGACAACTAAAGCACGTCTTATTGTGAGTTCATACTGTACAATATTTTTTCTAAAAACTTTAAAACGGATGCTTTTTAAAATTATAAATACTTAGTTATTAATAGTTAAACCTTTCGCGTGCCGTAGAATGTTGGGAAAATCTGTTTCAAAACTGAGGCTGGCTTCTTAAACCTCTGTATTTATATACGTTTATAAATTTCGAACTCAGGTAAGCTTCAAACAGTATAGTTTTTTGATTCCAAATGAAAAGAATTTATCTCGAAAAACAGTTAAAACATTGACCCTGAGCTGTACTAGTACAATTTATTAGTAAATATAATTTCAAAAACGTAATGTAGGTATAAATGTAAGGTTGTTAGATATTTTAGTCCATTTTATTATAAAATATTTATAACACACCAAAAACAATGGCTTAACGTTTAAGAAACAACACTGAATTTTCTAAGCCAAGTTTTCTGGGACCACACAATGCTTTAAGGCCAAATACCAAAACGGCCGCTACCATCATTGGCCGAGCGCAGTCGCAACCAACCATCCAGTGTTAGTGTATCTTTACAAACGGCAAACAAAATACTAACGAGCAAAAATAATTAATATTTTATGCTTTACATACACACAAAAGTAAACACGTATGTATGTATTCTTGTAGCATCCAAAAAAAAAACATGGAAATATGAAGTGAAGTGATAGTGTATACGTTGGACCAAACTTTCACTGTGCAGAAGTTTTCAGGGAAAAACAAAAAATAAAATAAAAACAATAATAAAGAAGGTGTTTCAAAGAACTGACTCGTTTATGCAAAGAAATATGTTAAAACGCATTGCAATTGATTTCTTGACATGGTGTAACTGAAACCAGCAACAACGAAAGGAATATTAACATAGCAAGAAGGAAATGGCAAATTTACCATTACATTCACCTATAGATTGTCTACCTATTTACATGCAATAAGAATTAAAAAAAATTCCTTGGTTTTATCTTGTTGGCTAAAAATTACAAATACTGTTTCTAATCTAATTCACAACAAGAACTAAAAGATCTATATAATTAACGAGAAAATCACATTATAGTCATACATTTGCGAATTAAAAACGTATATAGAGTTTTCATTGACGAAGTCGTTTGCATATCGGAAGCCCAATTAGCGGTTTTCAATTTGCTTTAATCTACTTACCTGTACACATCTATGTCTATATAATAATAAAAGTTGAATCCAACTATCCCTAGCAACTTCTTTAAAACTGAGAAACGTGAACTTATTTAAAATGCAGTAAAAATTCTCACTGACAAATACATACAAATTTTACTTACATATGTATGTATTAGGCAGTAGTAATCAAGTGCAATCAAATATTGCAAGCTGCAGACCGTCATAATCTGCAATCCACCGTTGTCTAGGAATTAAAAAATAAAAACTTTTATCACGCCTTACAGACCAAGCCATTGCGATCAACATCAATACCAAAGCAGCTTCATAAGGAATGTTTAAGAACAGGTGCTTGCTGATTTAAAAGCCGCTATGGCAACATTTACGAGTATATACATATGTTACATATGTATGTATGTGCTTGCCGGTTGGCTTTGCTTGTATTGTGTGGGCATTAGTGATAGTTCTACGCATGCGCTAATGAATTTTTACCAGTAAGAGCCATTAAGGCATCTTTTTAGATATGACTTTGAAAATATGTATGTATATTACACAGCCACATCCATATATTTATGTATGTATGTGTGTATATATGCGAATATGGTTTTAAAAAAATACAATGCGTACAGCGTTTCGTTCCATTTCTGAAAGCATGGTAAAATATTAAATACCTTCGATTGCAGTAAAAATTGAAATAATTTCAGATATGTATAGATTATACACACATTGATAACTGTTCTTGTACTCCAACGCTCTATGTCGCTGGAATTAGTTATCAATATGCGCTTCTATCTCACTGAAATGTCTCTTTAACTCTTATAGGGGCATACATAGTAAGACAATAAGTGATAGTTGGGAGATTTAGAATTTTTGGTACGTGTGGACATTTCGATAAATCGCCTCATTTCTTTGATTCCGTCATTTGAATTGACATTATTTTACTGTTACGCATATTTTAGTCGGTTAGAGTTAAATATTATTACGCTAAAGAATAAGTAAAGTGAGAGTAAGTAATGTCTATGTTTAGAATATCTGAGTTAATCCCCGGCGATTACGATATTTTACAATCAGCTTTTTTGCAGATTTAAAGTTTCTTCATCATTCTTGCTGTGAAGAATATGTAAATACATACACATATGCAGCAGTCAAAAAACAATAGTGTTTTACTTTCAAAGCACTGAATCAAATTAATTAAAACAATCAATAAATCAAATGTCGGTGTGTTATTGAATCGATTGGTCGCAGAGATCGAAGATAAGCCAAATACTTTTCACCACATGTAGTATGCCTAAAACCAATAAAGTAGAGTTAAGATCACTACTAAATTAAAAAGAAAAACTGGAAAAATGTATGTAGTTAGTTTTGAGCAAAAGAAAATTATTCTATTCACTTTGTGGACTAGTGCGTGAAATACAAATATTTATGTTAAAAAAATTACCCGTACTTGAAGTTACAGCTTAAATTAACGGTCTTATATACACTGAGGGTCGCAATCCTAGAAAAAGCGCTAACACCACAAACAGGCCAATCTGCTTAGCCTCTTTTCTTTCTTACTATGCTGTGACGACCTTAATTAGCAACGCAATGAAGTTGGTGAGTGGAGAATAAGCTACCAAAACCAACTAAGAGTGACAATAACAACAATAATCACATAAACCACAACAAAATGGTTCCAACATAATCGCATATATAGATATAATATATTAGTAATAGGAGTCTATCACCACGAAATAACTGTGGCAAGAACAATATTAATACAACAAAAAAGCAAGCTGATGATCAACAAATGTAAACCACCACTACGCCATGGAAGAAAGAGTAGTGACCAAGTCCATACATACATACACACAGATATCAATACCCGCAAAAAGAGAAAAAATAATGGAATAGCTGAATTTGTAAAAGAAGTGGGAAGCAAAGAACATCTTTGAAAAACAGCCAAGAGGGATAAAAATAGAAATTGGAAGCTATGTGTGCGCACAAGCCGAGAACTAGCCAGTTCGTTGAATAAATACAACAATAGTAAAAACACAACAGCTTCAGCCACGCTTTGAAACTAACCACTGAACTGATGGCAATGAAACCTACTACAAGTACCATATGTTTGTATGTATATATGTATACATTATCGTCCACAAAAAGAATAATACTTGAACTTGGATTTATTATGAAATACGCATACATATCTTATACTCGTATATTATTTTATATGTATATACAAATGAAACGCTATTTCATTATGTACCCGCAAAACGTCCGAACCATAGCACGGAAAAGCCTGAAACTTTGCACAGTTATACATTTATTCCTGCAGGAGGTCCTAACGGGGGCCTTTTTAGCAAAATCATCGTCGATTTTGCATCTCTATATGTACATACATACATATACATATGTATGTATATTAAAGAAAGTCGTATTAGTACAACTGAACTGATTTGGCTGAAAATGGGTGGGGAGGTTGCTTAGAACCATAGATGCTTTTTGTCTTTTTAAAACTTTAAAAGTAAAAAAATGCATATATAAAAAATTATATTTCAAATCATAAGCATGCGTTCAAAAATCATGTAAGAATCATACGAATATTTCTTTACTTTAAAAACTATAGTTACTGTACTTATTTACTTACTTAAGTACGTCCATTTGGCTGCCAGCTTAACCAATTTATTAGGTGCATTCTCTCGGAAAGTGCACATCTTCTCTACAATGAAACCTACACATCTCTGTATATGTAGGGACACACATCAACTGTCTATGAGAATTCTTCACTGGGTAATTCCCAAGATACAGTTTTCGTGTGTTTTAATTAACCGTGTAACATCTTAATTAATTGTCCCACGTGAGCTTATACATATATCTAACACGTTGGATACACACCGTTTGGCGAATGTGTAACTCGGAAATGTATGTGGTACGTAAATGCGCTAACATGGCCTAAGTGAGTTGCTGTATTGTCAATTTTCATTCATTTGTAATCATAAGGAGAGTCACGGTTTGAAAACATTTTAAATTTCAAAGAATGAAACTATATGGCGTCCCACAGTCCATTCATTCATGGAGAATATCTAAAATTCCCCGAAAACATTTTTTTTGAATTTTAGAATACTGTGGATGAGACAGCAGTTTGCAATCAAATTTGCCCAATATGGCCGAGGCGACAGCAGAGGTGTGAGCCGGTAGGTTGTTATGATGGAGAAGGACTGTTTTTATTAGATCGTTTTTCTGCAATTAGACGTCGAATTGGCTCAATAATTTAGTAATAGAGACGTGTTGCCCTTCTAGGCAGGTAGTCGATGTAGATGACCTTTTTGTGGGCAGCTGGGTGTGGTTTGAACTTATTTTAAAGGATTATCATCGAAGGAGAGACATATTGTGACGACTCCTTATTCAAAAGCCAATGCTCAGAGAGTCTTAGTAGTTATCAGACCGTCCTCGTATGGACATATGAATGCGACAAGGCATATCATGAAATTTTGCAATTGCCGACCGGTTACACCGGCAAAGCTGCAAATTGCTTTCGCAAATCCGTTGCTTAATTCACTAAATGTCTATGATGGTCAATGCGTTAGCAATGCTGCATATTGAACGTTCGTGGTTATGATAGCGTAGCCGCTGATGATTAATAACTTTAGTGGCATTGCGTATTTGCCGTTAGTTATTTAGTTTATTGGCTTCTTTTTTGCATGCATGTAAAACATGTGTATATATTTATTAATTTCAGGCTTGCTTGCTCCTTTAGTGTTGTTGCTGTTTGTAGTTGAAAGTGCAGAGAAAACGTTTAATAGAAAGTGAAAGATAATCTTCGAACCAGAGGTCAATAACTGAAATTGAAGTTAACCGTGCTATAAATTATTACCAAAAATGTTAGAATTACACACCATACATATGTATGTATGTTTGTTTGCATTGCGAATAAGTGCAAGTGCAGAAATAGATAAATAACTTAAGATCGAAATTGTATGAATATTCGTGAACGATTATTAATAATTCGTGTTATATTTCACAGGTTGACCAACGCCGCCGAACAATTACAACGAGCGCTAATGAAATAACAGCTTAAAATCGCTCGCTATAATCGTGTATCGTTATAACGCGACTGATAACCGTTATCTATTGTTGGTCATTACAAAAGGCAAACTCTTCCGTTCACTCGTAAATTTAATTACTTCTTCGCAGCGCAACGTGCGGCGAACAACAACACCAACGACAAGTCTAGTCTTTCCCTTTGTTGAAGCGCAAAGCTCGCAAGTCATACGTAACCAACCATATTTACCGAGACGGATACACATAATCAACACCGCTGACATAAATAAAACACCAACAACGGCTCCCTCCAACACTTATGACATAATGCGCGAGGACGACATCGAAATCGCCATCAAGGTGGTGATTGTGGGTAATGGCGGTGTTGGGAAATCATCCATGATACAACGCTACTGTAAGGGTATTTTCACCAAAGACTATAAGAAAACAATTGGTGTGGATTTTCTGGAACGACAAATCGAAATTGACGGTGAAGATGTGCGCATAATGCTATGGGACACTGCCGGGCAAGAGGAGTTTGACGCCATAACCAAAGCTTACTATCGTGGTGCGCAGGCGTGTGTGCTCACTTTCAGCACGACCGATCGAGCCTCATTCGAGGCCATCAGAGATTGGAAGCGTAAAGTGGAAAATGAATGCAATGAGATACCAACCGTAATTGTACAGAATAAAATTGACCTCATCGAACAGTCAGTTGTATCGGCAGACGAAGTGGAAACTCTGGCGCGCAATTTGAATTGCCGCCTCATACGAACATCCGTTAAGGAGGATGTGAATGTGGCATCCGTTTTCCGATATTTGGCTACGAAATGTCACCAGCTGATGCTCGGCGAAAACACCGAACAGTCATATACACCAAATGGTGGCAGCAGCGGCGTAAATGGTGGTTCCAATGGTCATCAGCCCACAATTAGTGCCTTCAGTCCAACATTCACAAAGTCCAATAGTGGCACGATTGTGTTGCGAGCAGCCAAAAAGAGTTCAACAGCGCGGAAACGTAAAATTGTGCTAAAGAAATGCGGTATTTTGTGATTTGCGTGACAACAGCTGGCAGGTGGTGAGCAATTGGACGAGTAGAGGATTACATGTGGACGAGATGTGTGCAAGAAAATGGGCACGAACATGTTGAGTAATGGAATATTTGATGATGGAGGGAAGATTATGCAGTTGCTTGAAAGGAGTGAAGGTAAGTCGGCGGCGGGGCGCCAAATATGTGCTGTGCATTTGCTTTTCAATGCGCACATACCTACATATATACAAACATGTATATACATAAGTATGTGTAAGTGCATCATTTCTTTTATAGACTCGTAAATAATGGTGAAAGGAGTGAGCATACAATTGCGATGAGGTGGAGCACACTTATGTTTTTCTTTCATTTTTCATTTAAAATAATATATGCATTGAGTAATTGGAGCGTATTTAACTGTAAAACATATTCGACTAATTAAAGATGAATACCAAATGAGGTTCAGATGAGGCGTGCGCGAGCACATAGCCAGCCAACTTTAATGAAATGAAACAAGAAAACGAATACAAATATCTAAGGTTCAACTCTGTGTGGCCACTCGTAGAGATGGTGTGGCAACAGAATCTTGAAACAAACACTTGAAAAATAATTAAATATAAAAAAAGGTGATCGGATAGTGCGGCTCACATTAATATTGACACAACCAAATTGCATAAACTTTTTGGCTTCATCTGCAATACTTTTAATATGAAAAACCAAGTCAGGGAAATTAATGAGAGCTTCTCGTCGTTCGTAATGTTGGTGGGTTTATTTGCGTGTGGTAGACAAATAAGCTCTAATGTAAATTTTTCATAACGAATATACAATAATATACTCTATACTATATATGGTTGTATATGTGTACATTCATATTTATATAAAGTTTTGTATGTATGTATGTACACATGTAAAAAATTGGTCTCTGCCTCAGCCACTTGTATGCAGTTATTTTAGCTGTTTATTTTTGTTTTCAGATGCAGTCTCCCACGGCCCACGGCCATTGAACTCAACTAACCATCATATGCTAAACTCTTTTTGACTGCTAGACTGATATATAAATATATGTATATGCACAACTGGATAATAATAAAAAAAATTTTAAGTAACAGTAAGACAATGTTTGTAGTAATCCAATATACATATACATAATTATAATAATATTTTCCTATTATAAAATTTGTTGTATGTTCACATATCTGTATACTGTTAGTTTAATTTAATTTAGATTGATTGTGTTTGCTAAAGAGAGCGTGTGTATTTTTTTAATTTACGATATTTTATCTGCATAGTCGGTTTGTATTATTATTATGTGGTAGAACGTTAAAAGCCTTTCGTTTTGATTAATATTGTAAAATATAATTTTATTTATAATAAACATACTTATGCTGTTTTACCATAAAAAATTCTGATTACTATATCCTCAACAGGGTATATGGTATTAAGTTTATTATACACAGAAGGAAACGTCGGAGACCTTATAAAATATATAAATGATCCAACATGACGAGTTAAGTCGATTTAGTCATGACTGTCTGTCTGCAAATACGGAAACTAGTAACTCAGTTTATCAGATATGATCTGAAATTTTGCACATTTCCTTTTATTCCAAAAAGGCTGCACATTTTTCTAAACTGTCGATAACGGTCCACTATAGCATATAGCTGCTATACAAACTGATCGTTCGAAATAAAGTTTTTGTATGGATACCGTTTTTATTTGATAAGGTATCTTCACGAAATTTGCCATGGATTATTTTTCAAGGTAATGATCTATCTCCAAAGAGCAAGGTCTTGTATGGAACATATTTATTTGCGAATGGTATTAGAGCTTCGGTGCTTGTTTTCATAATCATTTTAAAAATTACATTATCAGTTTGAGAAGATCATACCAAGTTGACTGCATTCGGTTCGGCAAAAAAAACCTTTATCTTATGATAAGTTGAACTTTTATCCGTACTTGTACCACTTCTACTTCTATGTTCAACTTAATAACGACCAATAGTAATTTCACAGCCTGAATAACAGAGATAACTAAGTTTTGTTGCAAGTGTGAGTGTCTAAGATTTAACCTTTCTAAAATTCAAATGAGATATCACCTAAACTATATGGTGTTATTAACGGACTAAGCCCAACAACATTCAGCATGAGCTTCTATGACTTTTACGGGTTTCTTAAAATGCTGTCGAAATAAAAGAAGTATTTATAATTTGTTTCTCGTTTTATTACTTTAAAATACGCATTTTGTTAATTAAAACTATTATTTTTATAATTTTTTCTTATCATTTGCTGATAAAAAGCAACATAACAATTTTGGGGGTTTTTTGAGAACAGTTTTCCCCATTTTGAAATTTCAAACCAATGTATATTTGTTAATCGGTAATTTTTACTTTAAGCAATTTTATTTATTTTGTTGCATAATCTTAGCACATTTTTAAATTTTTCATTTTTGTTTTAGAAAGAATATTATAACTATATTTAAAGTGCAAATTTTAAGCTTTTTTTTGCAGTAAGTTAAGGAATAAAAAATATATGTCTATATATATATGTATATATATATATGTTATATATACGCTTGCGTATGCAGTTAAATCTAATTGTGTCACGCTCCTTTTTATCTCGCTGAGTGTAGGATAGCTTTGTCAATTCGTTTGGGTAGTTCGTGTACCCTTTTTAATTTATATATATATTATTAATTTTATTATACTCTAACCCGACCAATTGATTTTTGGACTGCTTGTTTTGGGTTATTGAGAGTGGAATTCACGTATAGTTTAATACCATTATAACTAATTCATACGATTTTACAACTATTTTAAATATAAGTTAAAGTGAAATTTATTTATTATTAATATTTTTAATAAACACATACTAATTTTTTTTTTTGATAGTTTTGTCCTTATCACCCCACCTTTCTTAGTTCTGTCTCATTTCTCAATTCTCATCTCAATATAACATATATTGCATAAAACGTATTTATGTTAATTATTACGGTTAATATATGAAAAGGGGCTTCGTTTTGTATTTGTTGCATTTGTGTATCAAACGTATGATTTACGTTATTATCGGCGTGGAGAATAAGGAATCACTATTCAGATACAGCAAAGTCCGCATCATCCTTGTGTTCCAATGAGCGATATTCATCCGAATCTTCGCTGCAGGCGGTGGCGAAGGATGTATTTTTTAAATCAGCGGAGCAACCGCTAACGTCTGCAGCCTCTATGCAAGGATCCGTTATTATTGGTATAACATTTTGTTTTCCCGATGACGTTGGTTGCTCTGTTATCACAGTCTGTAGCATTAATTGTTGAGAAGGCATAGATCTCATAGACATTGGTGTGCTGGTTAAGGTAGGCAAATTTTCCGTTTCATCTTCTATACTAAAGCTAGTGTAGCGACAACGTTCACCCGATGTGGTCGCAATTGGATTATCGCCATCATCCATGTGTCCAGAACGGTCTATTGCTTCCGAAGTAACTTCGATTTTGGTTACTGTTGTGGTGAAATCAACCACATCTTTTGTGGGTGCTGTTGTCGTTGTCGCAGTAATGCTCTCCTCAATGGTGCTAATATTGGGCGAAAATTGAGGTTGACGCAGGGTTGGCGAGGCTGGATTACAACCGCTTACCGGTACGAGCGCTTTACAGACACTGGGCAGCAATGCAGTGGTTTCGTTGTCAGTGCTCGTCTCACATTGTGAAAATGAGGTGGACGTAGATGTGCAGAATGATGCTGTAAAAGTAGATATTTAATTTTGGTAATGAAAATTTTAAAAAATTATATGTTTTTCTTTAATTACATTCGATTTTTTCCCGACGTCCGCTTAAATGTGGCATGCTCGACAATGGTACGAGCTTTATGCGATAGAACCTTGTGCCTTTAGAAACACGATAACGGTTTTCATCCTGACAGATCATGTAAAATGTTGGAATATTCGAATTAGAAAATGCATTGCGTTGCGGAAAGTTATTTGAATACAATTCATTAAATGAAATCGCTTACCTTCCTAGCTTGACAGTACTCTCTATCGATGACACGCCCAATTGCATAGTAAGGCACCGGTAGGAGCGTATTTTCCACTATTGCATTTTCACTTGGAGATGGTGTGGCCGGCATGCGCAAATTCATAGCTGACAGACAGTCTCCGTGGACGAAATATAGAATTGGAGAGTCCTGGACTACCATATACTGACTGTGACGCATGCTCCACACGACGAATACCACATCACCTTTATTGCAAGAGTCTAACAGTAAATATTTATGACTAGAACTGCAAAAATAACATAATACATAAAACATCATAATTTTTGTTAATAACACAACATCTAGAAACATCTCATATAAATGAGTACGCGTCATTTTTTACTTACGCCTTTAAGGCAGCGAAAGAAGTTTCCATTTCCAAGCGCTTCGAGCGCTCCTTCTCAATGATTAGCTCCTCCTCCAAGCGATTCTTATCTCGATTTAAATACTCTATCTTTTCTTTAAGCCAGCTATTGCCCTCCTCGTTTGTGAGTGAATCGATCCGCAGTTTTAGCTGATAGATCTCTTTAGTTAGCAAAAGGTTCTGCTTACGCACCAGATCTAGCTGTCGGTCTTTCTCCTCGAGCATCTCCTTCAATATGTTCACATTGCCAATCACAGATTCTGAGTTTAAATTGAATTTTGTTTGCCAAATGGCGCGCTCCATATCTAAAGCGGCAGCGATGGACTTCTCCTTTTCAGTTTCGAACGACGCACGCAATTGGGCGACTATCGCCTCATGTTCACCACGATCGATTGTGTTCTGGTCGATGTTGGATGGCGGACGTTCCAATTTTTCGAGACTTGTTTCGGACGGCGATAGCTCCACGGAGGTCATGAGTTTATAACGACAGCGTAGCGATTCTATTTCAGATTTATGCTCGTGTAAAAGTTCTGCACGAGCAGCCGCCACTGCACGTTGCTGCTCCAGTTCAGTCGAACAGAGTTTTTCTTTCAATTCCTCCAACTGCGGCTGTAGCAATTCCACATCGCAAAGTTTTTGTCGCAAAGCGGCAAGCTCACCTTCACGTTGCTGCACTGTTTCATTCAACAACTCTTGTGTTTGGTGCAATATTTGCTCACGCTGCTCACTTTGCATGCGTATCAGATTCCATTGATCATGAAGCATTTGCAGTTCGGATTGCAAGTCTTCGCGGTAGGATACAACTCCTGTGCGGCAGTGATCCAAATCGGCACGTGATAAACGTATACATTCCGACGATACCTTATACATAGCGCCTAATATGCTTCGCAAACGTTCTACCTCAGCAAGGGTGGACGATTCCGATTCGTCTGTGAGCGTCTCGGCGTTTTGTGTCAGTAACAAGGAAGTGGCGGCACTGCGGGCAACTGTCTCAACGTTTATTGTGGATGTGGCTGTCGTGACAAGCATTGGTGCGGTTGATTGTGTGGTTGTCAGCTTTTCGAATTCGTTTTCCGTATCTGTTTCGGATCCTTCACATCCATCGCCGGTCTTCTGCAACTCTCCGAGCCTTTGGGGCATTAGCGGTTTCTCACCGGTACTCAACGCATTGCCGATACCCTCCTCCGCTACAGTCGATGTACCTATAACTGTTGCCACCTGCTGGCGAAACAACTCTTCCATCCGTTCCTTCTGATGGGGACCCGAACGTGAGACAAAAAAATTTATCACAGGTCCCATATCGGGCAACTTTATCTCTGATGCCAAATCTGGCAGATGTGAGGACAACATATCAATGTCTGATTTGGTGATGTTAGGCAATCGAGCATCAAATACTAATGGTGTTTCATTGGCGAATGCAGGCGGCATGTCGTTCATACCGGGAAATAATTTGTTCAAAAAATGACCGTCAAAATTGTCGTTGAACTGTTGTCGCCTCTTTATTTCTTCGTTATGGATTACTTCGAAGTCTTCTGCAAATTTAGTGGCCCAAAGGCGGAACTCCCCGGAAAATATTTTACGTCGTACCACCTGAAAGTTAAGATTAGATTAACATTTACCAGTTATATAGAGTTTCATTGGTATCTTCTTACCTCTGTAACTGCAGCCACATATATGCAAGGCGCCTGGTGTATTTGTTCGATAATCTGTATATGCCGTTCGGCACGAC